CGTCAATATCTGTATAGATTTCTAGCTCAGTGTGCCAGTCAATGTTTGCTACTGCTGTTGTGAAGTTATTAATGGCTGCCTCATTGTGAAGCCTGAAGGTGACTTTAGTAGTGTCTTGGGGTAGTTTACCAAGAGTTGTTATGAGGAAAGTAGGGTAGTGGTCTGTGTATTATCTGTAATTATGCCTGATTTTAAAGGGGATATGGTGTTGGTCCAGATGTGGTCAAGTAGGGAAACACTAGTCTCTGTAACTCTTGTAGGTTTTGTTACTGTTGGTAGCAACATACAGTTACTCATTGTGTTTGTGAATTCAGTAACGTGTGGGTCCTGGTCTTGCAGGAGATTTATACTGAAGTCACCTGAGAGTAGTAAGTGATCTTTGTTCATGCGTGCATCAGTTATACATACTTCCTAGGTTTTGACTAAATTGGCTAATGTTTGACTGTGGAACTCTGTAGATGTTTATCAATGTGAGAGGTTTTTGTATGTATTTGGATTTGAATTTGGCTATTATATATTCCCCATGTTCATCCCTTGTGCAAGTATTAGTGATACATTTTAGTTGGTCTGAGTAGTATATGGCTGTGCCACCCCCTTGTTGGTCTGGCCTACAGTTGTGTATGGCTGTGTAACCAGGAATGGCATAGACATCTGTACTATCAGGCTTTAGCCAGGTTTCAGTTAGTGTAATGATGGACATATTGGCATGTAAGGAATTTAGTAATGCTATGAGGTCATCGTAATGCTTGCTTAAAGATCTGATATTGTAGTTAAAGATAGTTATGTTGTTGTTGGCACTGAGAAGTGCCTTTGATTGTTCTGCAGTGTAGTAATTACAGTAACTGTTTGATTCATTTAAGTCATTAAATAAGAGGTTGGTATCAGGATCAATGCTTGTAATCATAAGATTTGTAGTGAATCTATAGTTAGAATTAAGTATAAAACAAAGTAAATAGTCTTAAGCTAAAAAATAGCACCTGAATTATTTAACAAATGTAAAATAATGAGCTAAGAGATAAGATAAGATAAGAGAGATAAGATTTCGTTCGGATTTTTAACCCCGGAGGGTTAGCCACCCAGGATAACCCAAGAAAGTCAGTGCGTCATCGAGGACTGTCTAACTTATTTCCATTGGGGTCCATAATCTTGTCCCCCAGGATGCGACCCACACCAGTCGAATAACACCCAGGTACCTATTTGCTGCTAGGTGAACAGGACAACAGGTGTAAGGAAACGTGTCGAAATGTTTCCACCCACCGGGAATCGAACCCGGGCCCTCCGTGTGTGAAGCGGGAGCTTTAGCTAAAATAAAGGAGACAATATAAAAGGGACTAATACAAATAAAGTGATGATTAAATAATGGAGCTTGGGAATATGATAGTAGGTAGTACTATAAAGGTAATTCTTTAAAGTTAGAATTATAGTATAAAATTATAATATAAAAGGGACTAATATAAGTTGTGGTGAACAATAAAGTGGTAATCAAATAAATGAGCTTTGGAATATAATGGCAAAATTGTGAACTTATTCTACTTTAGCACCTGAGAATAGCCTGGAGTTTACCTGGAGAGAGTTTTGGGGGTCAATGCCCCCGCGGCCCGGTCTGTGACCAGGCCTCCTGGTGGATCAGCGCCTGATCAACCAGGCTGTTGCTGCTGGCTGCACGCAAACCAACGTACGAGCCACAGCCCGGCTGATCAGGAACTGACTTTAGGTGCTTGTCCAGTGCCAGCTTGAAGACTGCCAAGGGTCTGTTGGTAATCCCCCTTATGTGTGCTGGGAGGCAGTTGAACAGTCTCGGGCCCCTGACACTTATTGTATGGACTCTTAACGTGCTAGTGACACCCCTGCTTTTCATTGGGGGGATGTTGCAGTCGTCTGCCAAGTCTTTTGCTTTCGTAGTGAGTGATTTTCGTGTGCAAGTTCGGTACTAGTCCCTCTAGGATTTTCCAGGTGTATATAATCATGTATTCTCTCCCTCCTGCGTTCCAGGGAATACAGGTTTAGAAACCTCAAGCGCTCCCAGTAATTGAGGTGTTTTATCTCCGTTATGCGCGCCGTGAAAGTTCTCTGTACATTTTCTAGGTCGGCAATTTCACCTGCCTTGAAAGGTGCTGTTAGAGTGCAGCAATATTCCAGCCTAGATAGAACAAGTGACCTGAAGAGTGTCATCATGGGCTTGGCCTCCCTAGTTTTGAAGGTTCTCATTATCCATCCTGTCATTTTTCTAGCAGATGCGATTGATACAATGTTATGGTCCTTGAAGGTGAGATCCTCCGACATAATCACTCCCAGGTCTTTGACGTTGGTGTTTCGCTCTATTTTGTGGCCAGAATTTGTTTTGTACTCTGATGAAGATTTAATTTCCTCATGTTTACCATATCTGAGTAATTGAAATTTCTCATCGTTGAACTTCATATTGTTTTCTGCAGCCCACTGAAAGATTTGGTTGATGTCCGCCTGGAGCCTTGCAGTGTCTGCAATGGAAGACACTGTCATGCAGATTCGGGTGTCATCTGCAAAGGAAGACACGGTGCTGTGGCTGACATCCTTGTCTATGTCGGATATGAGGATGAGGAACAAGATGGGAGCTAGTACTGTGCCTTGTGGAACAGAGCTTTTCACCGTAGCTGCCTCGGACTTTACTCTGTTGACGACTACTCTCTGTGTTCTGTTAGTGAGGAAATTATAGATCCATCGACCGACTTTTCCTGTTATTCCTTTAGCGCGCATTTTGTGCGCTATTACGCCATGGTCACACTTGTCGAAGGCTTTTGCAAAGTCTGTATATATTACATCTGCATTCTTTTTGTCTTCTAGTGCATTTAGGACCTTGTCGTAGTGATCCAGTAGTTGAGACAGACAGGAGCGACCTGTTCTAAACCCATGTTGCCCTGGGTTGTGTAACTGATGGGTTTCTAGATGGGTGGTGATCTTGCTTCTTAGGACCCTTTCAAAGATTTTTATGATATGGGATGTTAGTGCTATTGGTCTGTAGTTCTTTGCTGTTGCTTTACTGCCCCCTTTGTGGAGTGGGGCTATGTCTGTTGTTTTTAGTAACTGAGGGACGACCCCCGTGTCCATGCTCCCTCTCCATAGGATGGAAAAGGCTCGTGATAGGGGCTTCTTGCTGTTCTTGATGAACAGAGAGTTCCACGAGTCTGGCCCTGGGGCAGAGTGCATGGGCATGTCATTTATCGCCTGTTCGAAGTCATTTGGCGTCAGGATAACATCGGATAGGCTTGTGTTAATCAAATTTTGTGGCTCTCTCATAAAAAATTCATTTTGATCTTCGACTCTCAGTCTGGTTAGCGGCTTGCTAACCAGGGTAGTTATATAAAGCTAAAATAAAGGAAAAAATATATAAGGGACTACAATTGAGTAATGGTAAACAAAGTTAAATGGACAGATGGTCACTATGAAATAATATTGGTTTAGGAGTAAGATCTGATTTGTAATATTAAATAAATTGAGCAGTTTATTGCACAATAAAAAGTAAAAAAAAATGAGGTAGTTGGTACTAGCTAGCAAAAGATAGTTTTGGTACTTGCAAAAAAGTAATTGGAATATACACTAATTGCATACACAATGAAAAGTGACTAAAAAACAAGTAGTGATAAACAAAATTAAATGGACAGGTAAGAATAATGAATATTATTAATTTGGAGTAAGATTTGACTTGTAATTTAAAATTATGAGCAATTAATAGCAGTAAGAAAGAAGTATAGAGTATTGGAGGTAGTTGGCATTAGCTAGTGATGAAAAATAATAAAAATAATAATGCACAATATAAAAGTAACGTACACTATATGCACCACACGTATATATGTATTAAGGGCACTTATTTAATGTTACAGAAATGTCAGCTTTTCTAAGGAAGGTAGAGAAATCATGTTCGTTTGAGATGGTATATTGTTGTCCTGTTGATGTTATATATGCATAATAAAGTACCTACATTACTGGGAACAGTTGAAGTCCCTTGACCTGTAATTCTTGGAATGCAGGCGAGAAAGGTACTTGATAATATACACTTGGGAAACCTTAAGAGGGACTAGTCCCAAATCTGCACACGAAAATCACTCCCTACGAAAGCAAAAGACTCCGCAGAAGCTGCAACATTTTTCCCAGTGAAAAGCAGGGGTGCCATGAGTGCGTTAAGAGACAACACAATAAGTGTCAAGGACCCATGACTGATCAACTGTCTCCCAGCATACATAAGGGGGATTACCAATAGACCCCTGGCTGTCTTCAGGAAGGCGTTGGACAGGCACCTAAAGCCAGTACCTGACCAGCCGGGCTGTGGTTCACAGTTTATGTGTGGCCAGTAGTAACAGCCTAGTTGATCAGACCCTAATCCACCACGAGGCCTGGTCTCAGACCAAGCGGCGGGGGCGTTGACCCCCGGAACACCCTCCAAGTATACTGTAACCTGTTTAGCTATCAGAACTTTTGAGCTCAGTCTCTGGACCCATTATGTGCCTCTAATGACTACCACCCGCAGGATGGGTGGGTTTGTGGTGAATAATAAACATATTAATTTCCATGGATGAAACCATACAACCAGAAAGACAGAAATTGTTAAGTCTATGCATGAGACGATTTAGATTAATCCTCTCAAATGTTTTACACCTGAATCCAATCAGAGGTTATTCCTTCATATTAACTTAACTGCTTAAAATAGACAACTTTGTTACTCAGAATTATTAGTGTATATTATAATCTAATCTTCAGAGAACTTATTGTTGCTACACTTAGCATTCACATAAGATATTTCTGAAGCTTTAAATCTAGCTTTACTACTGTACATATAAATATATGTATAATATACATTTTATATGCATGTAATATGCGCCCCCAAGAACACTGAAAAAAAAAAAAATATGTTACATATCCAAAGCCTAAATAAAGACAAACTAATTAGTTCAAAGTAATTTTGGGTTCTAGTTTAGTCTTCAAGAAATATTTAGAATAACTATAAAGTTTTCCATGTAAGAAGTTACATTATTATTATTATAATCAAAAAGAAGCGCTAAGCCACAAGGGCTATACATGTAAGAAGTTACAGCAGCAGCGACGGATGACAACATTTGTTTTTCTTGAAGCAACTATGGCGCTGAGACCTTCCTCGCTCCTGCGTCTCCGTCCTCCTCTCTCATTGTAAGTTACTTACACTTCTCTTATTGCACATATAAACCCTCCATCACCTGCTCCATTTACTTAACTTATTATTGCCAATTTTTTGTGCCTTAATAATTGATATTTCCTGCTTCAGGAGACATGACTGGCAGATCTTGCACTCGACAAACCGGCTACGACTCATAAATGTACTTAAAACCAAAATCTTCTTTATCCAGCACTGACATGTACTCATTAAAGACCCGTGAAGGTCTAAGGTATTACAGAAAAATATGAAGTACGTAGCAGTAAGCTTTTAAGTTAAGGCTGCAACTATTGAGTGACAACATAGATGCAGCTTAATCTTTGTCAATGGCAACCTTGATAAGATGTGGTTTTAGGCACACGAAAATGCAACTTTTTTCAAAGTATTAAGATGTGTAAGCACCTGGGTTGTCCTGTCATTATAATCATAGGGTCGCGTTAAACCCATAGGGGTTATACAGGACTTAGAAAGGGTGAGGTAACAGGAGGCATTCAAGTTCGATACATGGGAGGGCAGATCCAGTTCCTTGGATCAGGAGCCCGTTACCAATATCATAAAACCTCCCCTGAGGGAAGGGGGGCGGTTGCCCCTCCTGTTATATCTCCTATTTGAAGTAAACTGAAATTCCTTAAAATTTTCTTAACTGTTGTCATTCTATGTTCCTTTCCACTACTACGGTGCTTAACCTGTTAGTTCCCTTCAACGAGGTTCCTTGATGCTAGTAAGGGCTCTTGCTTCAAGGAATTGAGTTTATCCTCCCTTTCCTTGGATTAAACCTGATTGCTTCCTATTTCCCCTAGACACTTTCCCTATGGATTTAGTGCTTCCTACTGTAATATAGTGATTAGCTTATTAATGCTGTTTGCTTTCATTTATTTACTTCTCTCTTTAAACTTCAGCATTCTTATTTTAAGCAGCATAATTGGATGGGGTGAAGATAAGAGTGTAGTGTAAGCGGCTTTGACTAGGGGATGCCTAAAGCCATTAGCTTCCTAACCTTTACATGGGTATAGCATATTTGTTATGGCTGTTAACAGTAGGTTAATCTGTCTACTAATTTTTCAGGTACGCAAGAAGCATGTCAAAAGGTGACCCTGGATCGGGTGCTGGCCATGGAGGTGGCACTGGGGGATCCATTAGGGATGCTGGTGGTGCTTTTGGCAAGAGGGAGCATGCTCAAGAGGATCAGTATTTTCGTAAATTGGTGAGATTCGGATGTTAATATATAGTATTGTATATAAAAATGGGTACTGAACCTGTATGTTAATACAGTAGCTTTTCATGTATCAAGGCTAGGGGATTCTTGATAAACTAAGGGCTTTCTGCATAAAGAATTTTTCCCATAGGGTATTGTTGAGGACAATTGTTATCCCTTATCCCATGATTTCAAGGTTCAGAATTTCTAGGAAAATAGGACAGAAAGGCCACTAACAGAATAAAAATTACGTGAACCTTAACAGAAAATGTAAAAAAACTAAGGAATGCTTTGTAAGTGCTCCCTTTTGGGTATTAAAATACAAAAATTACATTATCTGTTGTATTACATTGAAAGTAAAAACTTTTGTTGTGTGATGTTTTATGGGTACTATTATCTGCTAATGGTTCTTGGATCAGTGGCACTGGGGCTTGGACTCATACTAGGCCTCCTAACATGGAAAGGAAATAAAGTATATACTGAATGTAACTGAAGGTTGTAAGATTTATGTGCCATCTTAAATGTCATCAGACAAAGAAGAGGCTTGACAGGATGGCACTACAGTGCTTGTCTGGGTGGTTGTTTACCTACCTGTTACCTTAAGGTGACATTCATGGGATGGTCCCTGACCACATTTTAATGTGGGGTTTTCCAGGTGAAGCAGTCAAAATGGCTGTACTTTTGGCACTTAAATATATATTTGTACAGTAGATTATCATGTAATATGCATCCACATTGCATGTTAATAATATACTAATGCTTTCTGTATCCGGTTTACTACCTTTGGGATGTAGCACCAAAATATTCTGAATGTCTCCCATTTAGAGCATATGTAGTATCAGGCAAGCTGCTGCCATCATCTTTTAGTGCATTCCCTTTAATGCACTTTATATTAGTCTTCATAGGAGATGCCTATACTGGTCAAACAAGGCTCCTGATGTTCTTTTAAAAGGGTTTGGATACAATCTGACCTAAGTTGTAGATTATTGTACAATCAGGAGGCTGAATTCTCCTCCTCCAGGGATAATACCACTGGCACATCTTTTATCAATAGTCTATGGGATGCCTTCAAGTACTGAACTTAAGTAATGTCTGGCAGATTTCCTTGATAATGAATTGGTCATTATTACAAAGGTCAGGGGTCACTACTGATGGATCTAAGGAGTGGGGAAAAAATTGTGATCAACAATGGGGATTTGTATTGTCTAGCTACCGAGTGTCCACTTACGTCCATTGTGGCATGTTACATAATTCTCATTGCTCATCTAGTTTACATGCAGTAGTTGGGCAAAGTTTAGCACCAAATCCAGTCATTCCTGGAGTGGAACCACAGTCGATGGCCTCCACTCCAAACCAACAGATACAGATACTAATGCCGGAAAAAAAATCCCCCCCCAGTACCAACAATACCACCAGTCCGATAACATTCTTCTTTGCAAATATACAGGGTCTAAAGCCAGCAACAAACGACAAAATACCTTTCATCCGTGGACTGCTTGCAGAGGCAAAGGCAATGTTCGCGGCTTTCACTGAGACCCACATAAAGGATCACTTGGACAACGAAATATGGATCCCAGGTTACAACCTATACAGATGTGACAGAGTGAACAGGCAAAAGGGGGGGGTTGGCCTGTACATTGCAGAGTCACTTGTTTGCACAGAACTGCTTAATGCCTCAAATGATGTAGTGGAAGTTTTAGCAGTAAAGGTCGAGAACCAAAACCTAGTCATTGTGGTAGTCTACAAGCCTCCGGATGCAACATCCCAGCAATTCCAGGAACAGCTGTTAAAAATTGACCACTGTCTGGAAAATCTTCCAGCTCCTGCACCCAACATCTTGCTCCTGGGGGACTTCAACTTAAGGCACCTAAAATGGAGGAATATAGCAAATAATATTGTTGCAGTAATAACACCAGGAGGCAGCTCTGATGAAAACTCACACTCACACGAGCTTTTAAATCTCTGCACAAAATTCAATTTAAACCAGCAAATAATAGAGCCTACTAGACTGGAGAATACACTAGACCTCATCTTCACTAACAATGATGATCTGATAAGAAATGTCACCATATCAAAAACAATATACTCAGATCACAACATAATTGAGGTTCAGACATGTATGCGTGGAGCCCCAGACCGACAAAATGAGACTAGTCACGAGGGAGCATTCACCAAATTCAACTTCAATAACAAAAACATAAAGTGGGACCAAGTAAACCAAGTCCTAACCGATATAAGCTGGGAAGATATACTAAGCAACACAGACCCAAACTTATGCCTAGAACAGATTAACTCGGTGGCACTCGATGTATGCACAAGGCTTATTCCTCTAAGAAAAAGGAGGAGTATATGTAAAATAGAAAGAGACAGGTGCTCCCTTTACAGGCGACGGAAAAGAATAACAGAGCGGCTAAAAGAGGTCAATATATCTGAAATGCGCAGGGAGACACTGGTCAGAGAAATAGCAAGCATCGAACTTAAGCTAAAAGAATCCTTTAGGAGTCAGGAATCGCGGGAAGAACTAAAAGCCATAAATGAAATCGAAAGAAACCCAAAGTATTTCTTCTCCTATGCCAAATCAAAATCGAGAACAACGTCCAGTATTGGGCCCCTACTTAAACAAGATGGGTCCTACACAGATGACAGCAAGGAAATGAGTGAGCTACTCAAGTCCCAACATGACTCAGTTTTTAGCAAGCCGCTAACCAGACTGAGAGTCGAAGATCAAAATGAATTTTTTATGAGAGAGCCACAAAATTTGATTAACACAAGCCTATCCGATGTTATCCTGACGCCAAATGACTTCGAACAGGCGATAAATGACATGCCCATGCACTCTGCCCCAGGGCCAGACTCATGGAACTCTGTGTTCATCAAGAACTGCAAGAAGCCCCTATCACGAGCCTTTTCCATCCTATGGAGAGGGAGCATGGACACGGGGGTCGTCCCTCAGTTACTAAAAACAACAGACATAGCCCCACTCCACAAAGGGGGCAGTAAAGCAACAGCAAAGAACTACAGACCAATAGCACTAACATCCCATATCATAAAAATCTTTGAAAGGGTCCTAAGAAGCAAGATCACCACCCATCTAGAAACCCATCAGTTACACAACCCAGGGCAACATGGGTTTAGAACAGGTCGCTCCTGTCTGTCTCAACTACTGGATCACTACGACAAGGTCCTAAATGCACTAGAAGACAAAAAGAATGCAGATGTAATATATACAGACTTTGCAAAAGCCTTCGACAAGTGTGACCATGGTGTAATAGCACACAAAATGCACGCTAAAGGAATAACAGGAAAAGTCGGTCGATGGATCTATAATTTCCTCACTAACAGAACACAGAGAGTAGTCATCAACAGAGTAAAGTCCGAGGCAGCTACGGTGAAAAGCTCTGTTCCACAAGGCACAGTACTAGCTCCCATCTTGTTCCTCATCCTCATATCCGACATAGACAAGGATGTCAGCCACAGCACCGTGTCTTCCTTTGCAGATGACACCCGAATCTGCATGACAGTGTCTTCCATTGCAGACACTGCAAGGCTCCAGGCAGACATCAACCAAATCTTTCAGTGGGCTGCAGAAAACAATATGAAGTTCAACGATGAGAAATTTCAATTACTCAGATATGGTAAACATGAGGAAATTAAATCTTCATCAGAGTACAAAACAAATTCTGGCCACAAAATAGAGCGAAACACCAACGTCAAAGACCTGGGAGTGATTATGTCGGAGGATCTCACCTTCAAGGACCATAACATTGTATCAATCGCATCTGCTAGAAAAATGACAGGATGGATAATGAGAACCTTCAAAACTAGGGAGGCCAAGCCCAGGATGACACTCTTCAGGTCACTTGTGCTATCTAGACTGGAATATTGCTGCACTCTTAACAGCACCTTTCAAGGCAGGTGAAATTGCCGACCTAGAAAATGTACAGAGAACTTTCACGGCGCGCATAACGGAGATAAAACACCTCAATTACTGGGAGCGCTTGAGGTTTCTAAACCTGTATTCCCTGGAACGCAGGAGGGAGAGATACATGATTATATACACCTGGAAAATCCTAGAGGGACTAGTACCAAACTTGCACACGAAAATCACTCACTACGAAAGCAAAAGACTTGGCAGACGATGCACCATCCCCCCAATGAAAAGCAGGGGTGTCACTAGCACGTTAAGAGACCATACAATAAGTGTCAGGGGCCCGAGACTGTTCAACTGCCTCCCAGCACACATAAGGGGGATTACCAACAGACCCCTGGCAGTCTTCAAGCTGGCACTGGACAAGCACCTAAAGTCAGTTCCTGATCAGCCGGGCTGTGGCTCGTACGTTGGTTTGCGTGCAGCCAGCAGCAAGAGCCTGATTGATCAGGCGCTGATCCACCAGGAGGCCTGGTCACAGACCGGGCCGCGGGGGCGTTGACCCCCGAAACTCTCTCCAGGTAAACTCCTGCCCTCTACCTTAGTGAAACTTTATGCCTGTTTTGTATCCCATAGTGACCTAGTACATACAGTATATCAGCATGACTTTGGGAGGTTCTAGGATCAGTTGACCCTACAAACCAGCAACAAGCTGTATAGCTTTAATATAGGTCTTTCCACAAGGAATTGTCATGGGACGATTCTGAGGCTACAGGGAGGATATGGCTTGCCCACTGTCACCCACTTCGAGGTTATATTAAACCTCTGTAATATTTGTAGCTTAAATAGTGATGGTATTACTGTGAATTATTCTCTTAGCTTTTTATACTTAAAGCAAAAATAAAAAAAATTATAGGCAGCATTTTGTTTGGCTTATATTAAGCATAGGTGGTAAGTTATTAAATGCTGTAAAGAGTTTTTATGAGGATAGTGAGGCTCAGGTTAGGGTGTGTAGAAGAGAGGGAGACTACTTCCCAGTAAAAGTAGGTCTTAGACAGGGATGTGTAATGTCACCAAGGTTGTTTAATATATTTATAGATGGGGTTGTAAAGGAAGTAAATGCTAGGGTGTTCGGGAGAGGGGTGGGATTAAATTTTGGGGAATCAAATTCAAAATGGGAATTGACAGTTACTTTTTGCTGATGATACTGTGCTTATGGGAGATTCTAAAGAAAAATTGCAAAGGTTAGTGGATGAGTTTGGGAATGTGTGCAAAGGTAGAAAGTTGAAAGTGAACATAGAAAAGAGTAAGGTGATGAGGGTATCAAATGATTTAGGTAAAGAAAAATTGGATATCAAATTGGGGAGGAGTAGTATGGAAGAAGTGAATGTTTTCAGATACTTGGGAGTTGACGTGTTGGTGGATGGATTTATGAAGGATGAGGTTAATCATAGAATTGATGAAGGAAAAAAGTCGAGTGGTGCATTGAGGTATATGTGGAGTCAAAAAACGTTATCTATGGAGGCAAAGAAGGGAATGTATGAAAGTATAGTAGTACCAGCACTCTTATATGGGTGTGAAGCTTGGGTGGTAAATGCAGCAGCGAGGAGACTGTTGGAGGCAGTGGAGATGTCCTGTTTAAGGGCAATGTGTGGTGTAAATATTATGCAGAAAATTCGGAGTGTGGAAATTAGGAAAAGGTGTGGAGTTAATAAAAGTATTAATCAGAGGGCAGAAGAGAGGTTGTTGAGGTGGTTTGGTCATTTAGAGAGAATGGATCAAACTAGAATGACATGGAAAGCATATAAATCTATAGGGGAAGGAAGGCGGGGTAGGGGTCGTCCTCGAAAGAGTTGGAGAGAGGGGGTAAAGGAGGTTTTGTGGGCAAGGGGCTTGGACTTCCAGCAAGCGTGCATGAGCGTGTTAGATAGGAGTGAATGGAGACGAATGGTACTTGGGACCTGACGATCTGTTGGAGTGCGAGCAGGGTAATATTTAGTGAAGGGATTCAGGGAAACTGGTTATTTTCATATAGTCAGACTTGAGTTCTGGAAATGGGAAGTACAATGCCTGCACTTTAAAGGAGGGGTTTGGGATATTGGCAGTTTGGAGGGATATGTTGTGTATCTTTATATGTGTATGCTTCTAAACTGTTGTATTTCTGAGCACCTCTGCAAAAACAGTGATAATGTGTGAGTGTGGTGAAAGTGTTGAATGATGATGAAAGTATTTTCTTTTTGGGGATTTTCTTTCTTTTTTTTTGGGTCACCCTGCCTCAGTGGGAGACGGCCGACTTGTTGAAAAAAAAAAAATATATATATATATAATTTCCTAGGTAGTAGGTTGGTAAATAGCAACCGCCCAGGGAGGTACTACCGTCCTGCCAGGTGAGTGTACAACGAAAACCTGTAATTGCTTTACATGATGGTAGGATTGCTGGTGTCTTTTGTCTCTCATAAACATGCAAGATTTCAGGTATGTCTTGTTACTTCTACTTGCACTTAGGTCACACTACACATACATGTACAAGCATATATATACACACCCCTCTAGGTATTCTTCTATTTTCTTTCTAGTTCTTGTTCTTGTTTATTTCCTCTTATCTCCATGGGGAAGTGGAACAGAATTCTTCCTCCGTAAGCCATGCTTGTTGTAAGAGGCGACTAAAATGCCGGGAGCAAGGGGCTAGTAACTCCTTCTCCCGTATAAATTACTAAATTTAAAAGAAACTTTCGTTTTTCTTTTTGGGCCACCCTGCCTTGGTGGGATACCGGTGTGTTGATAGAAAGCATATATGTAATTTGTGGAAGTATTACTAACTTGTGTAAAGAAATTACAGCTTGTCTGACTTATTCTGCTATTTCTTTTACAGTACTCAATCCCTCAACACAAAATCTGATTTGTACCTTATATTTCAATGAATAATAATCTTCTGAAATTAAAAATTGGAAATATTTTTCTTGCAGCAACAAGAGCAACTAGAAAAGATGAGGAAGGGGCTGAAACAGGAAGTAGAGTTTCACAAATCGCAGATAAAGGCTCATGAAGATGCAATTGAAAGGCATGAAGAACGTTTGAAACTGCTGAAGTAAATTTTAAGGTTATGGCACACTAAATGCTCCCATGCATTATGCTTCGTCATAAGATAAGCATTAATTTAATTTGATTAGCAATGTGCAATTAACTTAAGTTCTTTTGTTTACAAAGTTAAATTAGTACATTGATGTAAATATTAAATAAAATATTAAAATAAAATTTTTTTAATATTCCTTTTAGATTTTATTTCATATCATGCAGTGCTAGTATAGATTCATATAATTCATAAAAGTCCCACTATTAGTGTTCATGCACTGTAGGCAACTATGATTATAATTATTACATTCATGGGGGAGCACTACACCAGGGGAAATGAAAGGATTCTCTTCCCTCAGGAGGGACTATCAAGGAACCCAAGGAAAACTACTAAGCAATGAGAATGATAATTTAAACACTGAAATGTTTATTTTTTCAGGGTAACGCCAAAATTCATAGGAATCATAGTGCCTCCATTCAAAGGGGCATCCTGATGCCAATTAAGAGCTCTTGATCCAAGAAATTGGAGCTATCCTCTTGTATTTGGGAGGTTCCAACAATTAGTTTTGTTCTTCCTCACTGCCATGCTCAATAGCTCAAATCGCTAGTTGCTGTATAGCCCTTGTGGCTTAGCGCTTTTTTTTATTATAATAATAATCAAATCCCTAGTTTCTTCTCGCTCCCCTTCCCTTAACTGCTAACAATCTCATTCTGATGTTGATGCAGGTTACACTAACGGGTCTAAGTCCTTTGACGATGTTAGGTTTGCAGCAGTGTTCCCCGGACAATGTTGCGCAAAGTATTTATTACACCTGGCAAGCATTTTCAGTTGAACTGTATGCAATTCTCATTGCAATTATATGTATTGCATCCATGCCTACTTCAACATTTGTGGTCGTTTGACTGCTTTAGTGCTTTGCAGGCTGTCAAAGCATTGTAATCTTTAACCACCTTTGCAACCATTGGCACTGATGGTCTGAGTTGATTCATAAGTTATATATTCTATCAAGCTGTGTTCGGGTTTCTGGTCGTCTTATCAATGTAGTGTTTAGGAGACCACACTCCCATCTTTGTATCTCTCATGGTATCTTCATGGAGAGGCGCCCAGTGCCACTAAACTGCCACGTTCCAGTTTGCCATTTTTTGTTACTGTCCTGTCTACCAGTGGGCATGCAGAATTTACTTTTGACATTGTTACCACTCTACTGCCTTCTTTGTCTTCCTCACTTATGGCCCCACCTCTGGCATATATCCAACTTGACATTAGGGCTCCTGTTGCTGACAAGGTATTTCACTTAAGGGCCCTATAAATATAACAGCTTCAGAGCAGAAACTTTGAATTTGGATGTTCTTATGATCAAATTCTAAACCTGTAGAGGTTGTAAGAACACCTAGTTAATGGAAGGTTGGATTTGATCCAAGGAGAGTGAGGGTAATTCCAATTCCTTGTACTTTCTTTATAAAGCCTTGTAGGGTTTGAAGTTTCATATAGGGATGGCACCCAAGATAGGCTCAGGACTCTCCAATGTCCAACATCCCTTTCCCCATAAAGAATGCATCTTCAAGTTCCCCACTCCTGCTTCTATATATAAATTCTGGAGTCACCACCCAGAACTATGACCCTTATGGGTTTAGCAGTTGGTTATAAATATAATAATGGAACCACCACTGTGCATTGGTTTTCTATATACCATTTGCTGTTGGGACTTTCCATGCCAGACCCAAGGGAGATTCATTGATGCAGGTTTTATACTTTATATTTTTTATTGTATTATCACACTGGCCGATTCCCACCAAGGCAGGGTGGCCCGAAAAAGAAAAACTTTCACCATCATTCACTCCATCACTGTCTTGCCAGAAGGGTGCTTTACACTACAGTTTTTAAACTGCATAGGTTTTATACCTATGCACTAAACCTGCATGGGTCATACTGGACTGATTATGGGTTAGTGCAACAGGTTAGTCTACAAACTGCCTTTTCCTATTTATGTCAAAACTCGAGTCCCACGTAAAATTCGTATTACCTCTAAATAGGACAAGGAAAAAAGTAAATTGTTTTTATTTCATGAGATTTTATTTTTTTTACGTCACAAATGTTTATTTAGCCTTGGCTGCAGCTTTCTGAGCTTTTAAGACCTTTACCACAATCTTCTGTTCCTCAATCAAGAATGCTCGCACAACCCTGAAAATAGAATAGAGAAAGTCAGTATTTAAAAATTAGGATTTTTGCATTTTATACATTCATAAGATATTCATAAGTTTAAAGAAAATATACCCCTGACTGGTTTTGAAAATTCTTCTACCCTTGAAGCATGGTCTGAGGAACTGATTACCTTGTTGAATGTTTGATCAACTAGCCGTTTCCTGCAAGTAGGCCTATAAAACCATCACAACCTGCCTGTAAAACCATCACAACCTGCCTGATGTGACACTTACTGCAAGTAATGAGTGACAAAATTCCACAGGAGTAAGGCAGAACACTTGCACAAGAGATTCAATCAATCAAGGAGAACTAAGTGCTAAACCCACAAGGGTCATACAGCAGTAGATTCATCATCTCATGTTTTGCTCCTTGGAGAAGTGTTCCCCACTTTAGGTAGGTAAACAATATACAAGAGGGCACCGTTCTTAGGACTCAAAGGTTTGTGACCCCCAAACAAGTGAAAATTGCCAATGGGTGAAAAAAAGAGCCTATTTTTATTTTTGAATGAATCTACAACACCTGATAATGTGTTAACACCACATATTAGATGCTCAAAAGCTAGGCATGAAAAATAATAAAAGATAAAGTAAAATAAATACACAGTACACACAATGCTTACCTTAAAATACAGTGTTAAGTCATCCCTTATGCAACTGTTGTATGAAGATGGTGATAAGTGGAAAAATGGTAAAAACACTGAATATAATGAACAATGGCTCAATTGAATTAATTATAATCAGACGAAGCGCTAAACCGACAAGGGTCATACAGTGCTGCTGGGCAGTATGTAGTGCGGAGGTTATAATCAGCTAGGTGGCAAGGGGATCAGAGGTGAGGGAAGAAAAGGGACGCTAAGTGTCATGTGTCGAAGTTCGTATAATAAAGCAGTTGCTGACAAAAAGTCAAAAGGTGCTTGGGAGTCAAATGTGGGGTCATCTGTAAGTAGAGAAGATAAAGTAAGAGTGGCAGGGCGGAAGCAGCATTGGAGGTAAATCCTGCGAGCTCACTGGTAGATTGGGCAATCGACAAGGAAGTGAAGAACTGAAATAGGGACCTGACAAGCCTCACAGAGAGGAACAGGGCATCTATCCATGAGATACTCATGGGTAAGGTGTGTATGATCAATGCAGAACCGGGAAAGCACAGTTTCCCGAGAAGGGCAACGGTGGTAGGAAGATGGCCACAAACCTAAAAGCGGTTTAATCCTTTCAGGGTTTCGGCCATACTAGTACAGCTTACGCACCAGGGTTTTTGACGTACTAGTACGCCTAAATATAATGATGGTGATTTTGGTAGACTGTAGAGCGGTGTTAATGATATACTTCTTCGGAGGCTTCTTACTTTATTGTTAAGTAGTGGTGGGTTACACAGGCTTGTGTGTTTGTGCCCATGGCCCGGGCAGGGCCATGCCACGAGAGAGAGCTGGGAGGCCTTGTGTCTTGATGCCAGGCCGCTGTGTGAGTGAGAGCGAGGCAAGTCTGGGCATACTGAAGTGGCAAGGCCTATAGGTGGCAGCACTTGAGTGGCGCGAAATATGAACTAAGCTGGCAGACAGCATGGGCTGTCTGTGCAGACAGTACAGGCTGTCTACATACGCTCGGCCACCTACCGCGCGTCGTCCCGACGCGACAATACTGGTAGTAAAAGAAACTCGGTCTCTCTCTCGTTGGAACAGGGCACAGAACACAAAATAAAAACATATATATACATATGGACATGGAAAAAAAAAAAACTTCCTACAGGGAGGGAAGAAAAAAACATGTGGGGTGTGCTAAACATCATGGTCAAAGGCAGTGAGCATCGAAGTGTATCACTGCACGCCTTCCTGCGTCTGGACAGATACTGCAACACGGGAGACATCGCTGCGGCTGAGCTGTGACGTAACAGGGTACGGTCTCCTCTGGAACGGTGAAGCAGACATCGTAGGAGTCGCTGCAGGTTTTCACTCAACCTAGGGCACGACATGCTGGTGCCCTCGAGTGAGGCGTCGACAAAACTCGGCAACTGGGCAGGACTTCTGACAAGCGACTCAGGAGGACACTTCTCGACTGGTACTGTCGCTGGGCTGTCACTGCCGGCGAGCGTGGAGCGAGTTGTGGAGCGAGTCGTGGCAGAGATGACTGGGCGAAACATCTGGGAGTCGTAACATCATACACCAGACTGCAGTGAGAGAGCTAGCAGTCAAAGTGACATCTTCTTTGTGCAGGCTGCTCACTGAAGCTTGTGACACGAGGCTGACACAGCGCCTGCCGACAGGCCTGGCTGCGGCTTGACGAGTATCATCTCTCGACAGTTGGAGTTATAGCAGAGGTTAGTCTAAGCGTCCCCAGACTTGTTTCTCTACATATAACTGCACTCTGAAGGTCTGGAGGTGAAGTGAAACAAATCTCGATGGGAATCGTAGCAGGTACGATTCTGCAGAACAACACGAGCGACGAGCATAAAAGCTTTCTGTACAAGAGGGCTCATACGCTCAGGGCTGAGTAATCAGCTGTCAAACACACTGGTCACGGGTGACTTAGTGGTACAACTCAAGGGTCTGGCTGGGCCAGACCTCACTGGACACACGAAACTTGAAAAACACACCGCTGTACATACGGTACAACATGGCTTAACTAGCAAATGATGCTTTTCTGTGCACAAAACTGACACTAAGACATATACTAAAATGTGAGAACACTGACTAAGAGGAATTAATTAACACACGACATATATCTTCTCTCAATACTGAAATAATTACTAGAACACTCGATGTGACATCATGTGATGTCAGGCGTGATGTCGCAAGGTGACGTCAGCAGCAGTGACGTCAACAGACATCTCGAGGTGACGTCAGGCAGACATCGTGAGGTGACGTCAGGCAGACATCGCGAGGTGACGTCAGCAGACATCGTGACGTCATGAAGTCGGGCAGCATCGTGGGTGGCGTCGATGTGATGCGGGCAGCAGACCACAGTATGAGGCCTTGGGACATCTGGTAACTCACGTGGCTTTGTAGGTCTACGTGACATCGGCCACACCCAACGTGGTGTCGTAATCCACGTAGCTTCGAGTGGCCTCGGGCACTCGGATACACAGCACTGGCAATGAATTCATACGAAAAACAGCAGAAAACACAGCAGAGGGAGTGGGCAGTGGTGAGTGGTGTATGGTAGGCTAGCGGCGAGGAGCGTGCGTGTGTATGGCAGGGCGGGCATGGGCAAGGTGAGGAACAGCCACTTCCTCTCCTCTCCTCCCCCACCCACAAACACGTGGAGAAGCTCACACTGGACGCAGAAATCACCACAAAACTCACCTCTGGCTTGCTGAAACAGCTGTGCTGAGCTGAACAACAACAACAGCAACATACAAGTGACGCTGAACACGTGACTTGAGAAACAGCGTGGGGTCACTGGGACGCTGTAGCGTGGGGTCACTGTGACGCCACTCACATTTCTCGGAGAATTTCGATAAATTTCGGCTGGATCCTGCTTGTACCTGTGTCTGGATGCTCAAACGTGCAGACACGACATCAGGATAACTCGTTGAGAGACGGATGCTTCTTGTGTAGGGTGATGAAGTGAAGATGACTTCATACCTCTTCCTTCCTCGCGGGGCAAACACAACTGCTGCAAGCACCGCTGTCCCCATTTATAATGATGGTGATTTTGGTAGACTGTAGAGCGGTGTTAATGATATACTTCTTCGGAGGCTTCTTACTTTATTGTTAAGTAGTGGTGGGTTACACAGGCTTGTGTGTTTGTGCCCATGGCCCGGGCAGGGCCATGCCACGAGAGAGCGCTGGGAGGCCTTGTGTCTTGATGCCAGGCCGCTGTGTGAGTGAGAGCGAGGCAAGTCTGGGCATCAAGACACAAGTAACTCCCAGCTCTCTCTCGTGGCATGGCCCTGCCCGGGCCATGGGCACAAACACACAAGCCTGTGTAACCCACCACTACTTAACAATAAAGTAAGAAGCCTCCGAAGAAGTATATCATTTAACTACCCGCTCTACAGCTACCAAACAACCCCATTGATATTGGTGGTAATGGTAGATAACTTGACGCGGTACAGTGAATTAGTACCCATTCCTGATAAAACCGCTGAAACGGTCGCTAGTGCTTTCCGTGAGCATGTTGTTCTTCGTCATACTTGCCCACGTGTCCTTCTGTCAGACAATGGGTCTGAGTTTATAAATGGCATAATGCAGGATCTTTGCTCCAGATTCAACACTCTCCAGCACCATTCTCCTGCCTCCTACAGCGTCCCTACGCCCTTCTCAGCTACAAGAAGTAGAGGTGAGGTCGTTAGTGTGTTGGCTTCGTGTGGCTCCACGAGTGACCACGAGGCAGCTCTCGGGTTGGTTTATACCCTAATCAGCGTGTAAACACACCAGCCCTCTATACAGCCTTATCTGCTAGGCAAAGACGTCCTTCTCGCCGTCCATGTGTGTTGTGTTCTTCCCAGTTTCCTCCAAGAAGTTCTACCTGGCTTAGCCACGTGGGAACCCAGTTGGCTTAGCCCCTAAGCCAGCAAAGTTCAGCGTCTACAGCAGCTCGTGACTCATCATAGTGTCTACTACTACTCAGCGCCTACGTATCTCCAGCCAGTGCAGTTTTTTTTTTGTGTTTGCCTGGAGAGAGAGGGAGAGGTATGAAGTCACCTTCATTTCATCACCCTACACAAGAAGCATCCGTCTCTCAACGAGTTATCCTGATGTCGTGTCTGCACGTTTGAGCATCCAGACACAGGTACAAGCAGGATCCAGCCGAAATTTATCGAAATTCTCCGAGAAATGTGAGTGGCGTCACAGTGACCCCACGCTACAGTATCCCACCGCTGCCACCATTTATAATGATGGTGATTTTGGTAGACTGTAGAGCGGTGTTAATGATATACTTCTTCGGAGGCTTCTTACTTTATTGTTAAGTAGTGGTGGGTTACACAGGCTTGTGTGTTTGTGCCCATGGCCCGGGCAGGGCCATGCCACGAGAGAGAGCTGGGAGGCCTTGTGTCTTGATGCCAGGCCGCTGTGTGAGTGAGAGCGAGGCAAGTCTGGGCATACTGAAGTGGCAAGGCCTATAGGTGGCAGCACTTGAGTGGCGCGAAATATGAACTAAGCTGGCAGACAGCATGGGCTGTCTGTGCAGACAGTACAGGCTGTCTACATAAACTCTAGCGCCCTCAAATCTAGTGAGCGAAAGCTAGTAGGCCTACATATGACAGAATGGGTCTATGTGATCAGTGTGCGCAGTATAAAAAAAAATCCTGCAGCACAGTGCATAATGAGAAAAAAAAAAAACTTTGACCGTGTTTTTGGATTAAAACAGCGACTTTGCACTGCATTTTCGTATGGTATTTATTGTTGTATTCTAGTTTTCCTGGTCTCACTTTATAGAATGGAAGACATATTACAGAAATTGAGATGATTTTGACTGGTTTTACAATGAAAAGTACCTTGAAATTGAGCTCAAAGTAGCAGAAATATTCGATTTTTACCAAAGTTCAAAAGTAAACAAATTATGCCAGCGTCCAATACACGTCAACTGGCGAGTCTAATATTCTTTCACAAGTGCGCTGATATTATTTATACCATTTCTACACTAATGCAGCAGTCTGCATAACAGTAAATCTTCTATTTTTTGTAAGAATAAAAACAAAGTGGAAAGCCAAAGAAATACAAGAGGGGCCTGGGGATGTGACTAACGAACAGAGAACTTGTTATTTTAGTGCCAGGAATGTCTTTCTTGTTTATTCTGGACCCTATTCAGAAATTGGCATCTTTTGAAGTTTGTGTGAAATTGGCAAAATTGCTAAATTCTGACCACTTTATTGGATAGTTGAAATCGGTAAATGGGTGGTTTGTTGTACTCATTCGATAGAAAAAATGGAGTTCTAGCGAAATAGTTATGATTTTGTCGACTAGTACACTGGAATTGGCCAAAAATAGAGCTCAAAGTGGGCAAAATCGCTGATGCGTAAACATCGTCGAGACCGCTAACTTCGCGAGAGCATAAATCCCTAAGTTTTCCATCAAATTTCATACTTCTGGTGTCATTATGATTGGGAAAAGATTCTCTATCTTTTTGTAAGAATTTTTTTTTTTTTTTTTGAAATTTGGGTGACCCTGAGAACAAGTCTCGGAGAAGGCCTGGCGACCCTGAAAGGGTTAATCGAGTGGAATTTGTTACGGTGTATGCCCGATCACTGTTGTTGCCAACAGCAGCGGAGATGGGCAGAGATGACTGGAAAATAGTCCCTGTACGGAATACCCTTATAAGAAACCAGATCATGCACCGCTGACCGCGCAGCAGCATCTGCCTACTCATTGCCCTGCACATCGTGACCAGGGACCCAGCAGAAAACGACATCTTTATTCTTGCTAGCCACACGGCGCAACCATTGTTGAATACAAAGGACTAAAGGATGAGGGGAGTCGAATTATTTAATGGCACTGAGGGAATCCAAAATGATCATGAGCGCAAAGGAGACATACATCTAATACGAAGAAGCACTATGACGATGGCATACAATGCTACTGTAAAAACACTAGGCGAGTCCATCAAATGGCCTCGGACAACGTCATAAGGGAAAACTGCCGTGAACCCCACACCATCAGCAGATTCAGAACCATCTGTATACACAGCAATGGCATGAGCACATGACCGGAAGTGCTCGAGCAAGAGTGAGTAGCAGGCGGAGGTAAGAAAGCTTTGGCGCACGGTACTGGGGGGGCGGGGGCAGACATTAACTGTCGGAACTTCCCAGGGGGGAAGGGAAAAAACCAGACGCTAAATGAACGTACAAGGGGGATTAACTGGAGAGACCAGAGTGAGTGAATGCGAAGAGAAAACGGTCGGAGTAGGCAGGGGCGTCGAACAAACAGTGGGTTCCTACTAATGTCCGAGACTAATCTATATGTGGAAGGAACACCAAGATCATGAGTGCAAACAAAATAACGAAGACAATGAGCATCACGACGATCAGCCAGGGAAGGAACATTTGCCTCTGCATAGAGGATTTCAACAGGGGATGAAAGAGAGGCACCAAGGAACAGATGAAGGCTTTGGCGATGAATGGGATCTTAGAGTTGCGGGAGAGGCCGCAGAATAGACTTGGTCACTGTAATCTAGCTTGGACAAGACTATGGTGGAGTGTGACAATCTGCTCCCCATGAACGATGTGCGAGAACTTTAAGACACTACCAGTGGTATAAGATACGAAAGGATGTTGCACAAATGTTGCACATGGGTTATTATCGAGGTTTTTGATATTTTCTCTACCACTTGTGGACACATCCATCTCAAAGCCACTAAACTCTGGGTCAACATCACTTTCCTCTTAAAAGGGGTGTTAATACGACATGACATCAGTGAATCCCTGGTGTTTGCCATGCTATTTGCTCTAGCTGGCACTCAATTGAACTGGTGCTCCCACAAGGTACTAAGTGGTCCCAGATTTTTTTAATACTGCACACACACAGAGTGTTAAGACTCATTCTATACTGACCAGGCATCTCAGGCCAATCATGCCAAATTTGGAGGCAGGAAAAATAAAAAGTAGATCTACATTTGAAGTATTTGCGGTACAAACGTAGATCTACATTTGGACGGTTTAAGGGTTAATCAATACTAATGTATAATTACAATGAAAAAATTATATAACAGACTGCCTCACTTACCTCTCACGGACACACTTGTGGCACAGGTTTCCTCCATATGCACGAGTTACCCTCTTCACGCGCTTTGATAAACGATGAAGCTTATTAGGTCTGGCAACCACAATACCAGGTAACTTAATCTTACAGTTTCCACAAGCAGGAGGCTTACCAGGCTTTTTCTTATACTGATACACAAGACGACCTCCAGGAGTCTTCACACTAAAAAAGAAAAATGTTAAGTAAAAAATTAAGATAAATAAATGTAATACTATTACACTTAGGAGAGTAAAGTCTTAAATATGGGGGCAAAGCTGTTCAACTGCCTCCCAGCAGATATAAAGAGGGATTACAAACAGAACCCTGGCTGTTTTCAAGAACAAGCTGGACAGGCACTTAGTACCTGACCACCGGGTTGTGGTTCATAAGTCGATTTATGTATGGCCAACAGTAACAGCCTGGATGATCAGGCCCTGATTCACCAAGAGGCCTAGTCACAGACCAGGTAGTTGGGGTACCAACCCCCAAAACTGCCTTCTGGTATACTCAAGATAAAACTGGACAAGTATCTTCACCAGGCACCAGATCAACCAGGCTGTGATGGATGTGTGGGCCAGCAGGCCATCAGCAACAGCCTGGTTGACCAGGATAGCACCAGATGAGCCTGGTCCATGGTAGGGCACCGGCAGTAGAAAGACTCTCGAAACTCAAAGGCATAACCCTCCACACATACACCTCTATGTACATTAACAGACTGTGAACAAAATTTGCTGGATCAACTGATTTGGAAGCAACAGACAAGTCTGTTGGTTATCGAGTTGTTCACTGTAACACTAGAAGGTGGTATTACTTCTCAAGGAGGAAAGCAAGAAACTGAAAATTTACGTGGATAAGTATAACAATGAATGTGAGATGACTGGAGTTAATAAAAACAGGTTACTAGCAGTGAGGAGCAGGCTGGCACCAGTAACAAGTGGGAAGCAGTAGGTATTAAAGGGAGAAACATCCAAATGAGGACAGTTAATAAAAGGAGCAAATCCAATGGTAAGAAATCACTTTTCTGTTCTAAGAGACAAATGTACTTCTATGGTCACTGAGGATAAAAATATTAACTACTCTGCTAATAAACAATGATATTACTGCACGCCTATCCTATTTATGTTCACAACCATGAATATTCTTTATATTGAATGATGTGTTATTACGTATCAGGTGGACACAATAAACCCATAGGGGTCATACAAACTATTAGGAATGGGAAGCAATTGGATTCAAACCAAGACAAAAAAAAAAAAGTTAGGTTCAATTCCTTGGATCAAGCATCCCTCACTGGCATAAAACTAACACCTTTGAGGGGTATATGATAAACTTGTATAATTATTACACATCAACAAAATATGACGAAGTTTATCAGTAATAATATGTGCAACAGTTGGATGTCTTTATTCATGAAAAGTTTCGCCTACACAGTTGCACAAATTATTACACCTAGTAACATGTGTAAATTACCTAGGCTTCTAATACCCCAACTACTTTTGATTGTCATTGTTGTATTCAACGACCATTCTACCTCATAGTCTTAATTGTGTTTAATATCTACAGAATCTATCTCCTTTTTTTACAACTTACCACATCACTGTTCTATCTTATTCTATTATAAACTAACCATAACTTGTCCTCAATAATTTTACCTCACTAAGAAATACTCAATTGCTCAATTTTATTCTAAAATCCCTATTATTGCCCAATTTTGCTTTAAACTATATTGACCAAACTTATTGTAAACTTCTTTTATTGACCATTTTTATTCTATACTTTTTTAAACTAGTATTTTCAACTACAACTTTTATATTATCCTGTCTACCATCTTACTAGCATATTATAACCAAGTCATTGCCATTTTTATTTTTATAATTTTTTTTATTATTCTTTTGCTACCTTAACTTGTGTATTTTATCCTGTCAATTTAAATCTAGTTATACTCTAATTCTTGTAAACAACTTATATAAGACCTTAGTGCAATTACAATTGAGAGTCTTGTGCCTTTTTTATATTATTAGATTAAACTCAGTTGCACTATAGCTCATTCTAGCTCAATACATAGTCAATACCAAATTCATTATATTAGACCATAGTGCAATTACTAGTGAGAGACTGGTGCTATTTTTAATTTGTATTTTTATATTATTAGATTAAACCTAGTTGTACTATAGCTCATTCTAGCTCAAAACAGACTCCACAAAAGTCATTATATTAGACCTTAGTGCAATTACAAGTGAGAGTCTTGTTCTATTTTTAATTTGTATTTTTATATTACTAGTTTATACCTAGCTGTACTTTAGTTCATTCCAGCACAACACATAGACAACATCAACTTCATTATGTGTATTAGTGACTATACTCTATATGACCAAAATACTCTAGCTATATACTTGTCCAAACTTCCGACCACTACAGATATCAGTACACGTACTAGAACTCAACACACAACTCAGGATATAAATAACCATAATTTAAACCTAGAAGATGATTGATCACGTTGACCCTGATCTAAACCTCCATAATCTGACACCCAATCAAAACCTATTGGAAACTAACTGCCTTTATTACACAGCATCACAAGCCAGCACTATCCTAAACAATGCTAAAAGTCTATCAGTACTTAACTACAACATCAGGTCCTTAAGCAAACACTATGATGACCTCCTGGCACTCCTTGAATAACTAAAGACACCCTTCTCCTGCATTATTCTTACTGAGACCTGGCTTAAGCAGGACACAATAGATATCTACCCTCTACCAGGATACACAGCAATTCACAACTGCAGACCAAACCAAGTTGAGGGTGGTATTGCAATCTATTACTCTAACCAATTATCTTGTATTAGCACCACTTGCTTTAGTGATGAATATGGGGAATACATTTTTCCCAATTTTACTGTAAAAAACCTTAAGACACCTATAATAATCGGTGCCATTTACCGGATACCTCACACAAACATCCCAAATTTCAGTGAGAAATTAAAGTCACTAATAACAAACCGACAAATGAATAAGCACCACCTTCTCTTAGCTTGAGACTTCAACATCAACCTTGGCCTACTAGATGATCAGCCTGTAACTGATTTCATCAACAATATGAACAACACACTTCTCATACCAACAATAACTAAACCAACCAGGCTCACTGAGACAAGTGCAACCATAATAGAGCACATATGGACCAATATACTAGCCCCCCTTAAATCAGGGATAATCACAGATAGCACTACAGACCACTACCCTACCTTCCTCCTGACAAACATTAGTAAACCACCACTTGAATACAATAAAGTCTCATTTAGACTCCATGACGAGGCCTCAATAAGGAAGTTCACAGCTGACCTAGAGACTGTTGACTGGCCTACAGAATTCTCCAAGGCCAATGGTATTGACGACTGGACAAACATTTTTCTTAACAAATTACTTAGACTATACAACAAACATTGTCCTATAAAAACGAAACAGATCACAAACAAACGGCTTGGTTGCCCATGGCTAACCAGCACCATTCTGAAATCCATTGACAAGAAACACCAATATGAAAAGCAATACAGACAGGGCTTAATACACAAAGATATTCTTAAACACTATTCATCAGTTCTCACCAAAGTAATAAAGAAAGCCAAACAACTATACTACTACAGTAGATTCACAGACACTAGAGGAGATATAAAAAAGACCTGGAAAACACTCTCTCAGATTCTAGGGACCCACAAACTGAAAAAAAAACAAGAATATTGTCCTAACTAAACCTAACGAAACACCACTACGTCCCACTGACACAGCTAACAAGATAAACGACTTCTTCTCAACCATAGGATCTAATCTCGCCAATAAAATCCCACATACCAATGCCCATGCAGGGGACTACCTAGATGGGAATTTCCCAAATTCCTTCTATCTTGCACCAACTGAGCCCATGGAAGTCATCGAGATTATAAAGGCACTTAAAAATAACTCAGGGAATCTGTCTCGTGTCCCACCATTACTGTACAAGCGAGCGGCATATGTCCTTTCGCATGCTATTTCATTACTTTTTAACGTCACTAGAAACTAGCACCTTCCTAAAACTACTCAAGATGGCAAGGGTTACACCAATACATAAAGGTGGTGACCCTACAGACTTAAACAATTATAGGCCAATATCAAACTTACCATTGCTATCCAAAATCTTTGAGAAACTCGTGCACAGGAGACTATATTCTTTTATAACGGCACAAAACATACTCAACCCCTGCCAATTTGGATTCAGGAAAAATAAAAGCACTAATGATGCAATCATAAAAATGCTAGATCTGCTTTACACAGCATTGGAAAATAAGGAATATCCACTAGGAATTTTTATTGACCTAAGAAAAGCTTTTGACAGAGAAGACCACGACATCCTACTCCACAAACTTGACCATTACGGTATAAAAGGCCATGCGCTTGCTTATTTCAAATCTTACCTTACTAATAGGTATCAGTATGTCACCATTAACCCTTTGACTGTTTTTGACGTATAAATACGTCTTACGAGCCAATGTTTCTGACGTATATATACTCAATAATTCTAGCGGCTTCAAATCAAGCAGGAGAAAGCTGGTAGGCCCACATGTGAGAGAATGGGTCTGTGTGGTCAGTATGCACCACATAAAAAAATCCTGCAGCACACATTGCGTAATGAGAAAAAAAAACTCTGATCGTTTTTTTGGAATAAAACGCTGACTTTGAGGTGTATTTTCGTATAGTATTTATCGTTGTATTCGCGTTTTCATGGTCTTAGGTGATAAAATGGAAAACATATTACAGAAATAGAGATGATTTTCATTACTTTGATGATGAAAACGACCTTGAAACTGAGCTCAAAGTAGCGGAAATGTTCGATTTTTACCAATGTTCAGGAGTAAATAAATCATGCCACACGTCCAATACACGTCAACTGGGGAGTCGAATATTCTTTCACTAGTGCACTGATATTATTTATACCATTTTTACAATAATGCAGTAGTCTGCATAACAGTAAATTTTGTATTTTTTTGTATGAGTAAAAAATCAAAATAGAAAGCAATAATAATTTAAGAGGGGCCTAGAGATGTGACTAATGAACAGTGCATATGTTATTTTAGTGCCACGAATGTCTACCTTGTTTATTCTGGACCCTATTTTGAAATTTGCACCTTTTTTAGTTTGCGTGAAATTGGCCAATTGGCCTATTTCTGACCACCATATTGGGTAGTCCAAATTAGTAAATGGAAGGTTTCTTGTACTCAGCTGATAGATAAAATGGAGTTCTAAAGAAATAGCTATGAGTTTGGTCAACTGGAACAATGGAATTGGCTGAAAATAGGGCTCAAAGTCGGCGAAATCGCCGATACGCATATGTTGCCGAGACCGCTAACTTCGCGGGAGCATAATTCCATGAGTTTTCGACCAAATTTCGAACTTTTGGTGTCATTACCATCGGGAAAAGATTCTCTATCATTTCATAAGAAAAAATAATTTTTTTTTTTCAAAAATTGAGCGACATAGAATGACAGTTTCAGAGAGGGGCCTGAAACAGTCAAAGGGTTAAAGACACAGCATCAACAACACGGCCACTTGATACTGGAGTTCCGCAGGGAAGTGTCCTTGGTCCCCTGCTCTTCCTTATATACATCAATGATCTTCCAAACGTATCCCAACACCTGAAACCCATTCTCTTTGCTGACGACACGACTTATGTCATCTTTCACCCTAATCTTGCCACCCTCAACACCATTGTTAACGAGGAGCTGATCAAAATATCGACTAGGATGACAGCCAATAAACTTACGCTTAACAAAACCTACTATATTATGTTTGGTAGCAGAGCAGGAGATGCACAAATTAACATTAAGATAGACAACACTCTAATTACCAGACATAATGAGGGCAAATTCCTAGGCCTATACCTTGACAACAACCTGAATTTCAGCACCCATATCCAACACATAACCAAAAAAGTATCCAAAACGGTTGGGATCCTCTCCAAGATACGATACTACATGCCGCAAAATGCCCTTCTCACACTATACCACTCACTTATTTATCCATACCTCACCTATGCTATTTGTGCTTGGGGATCAACTGCAGCAACACACCTAAAGCCAATAATAACCCAACAAAACGTTGCAGTAAGAATAATCACTAAATCCCATCCCTGGCAACACCCCCCCCCCACCTCTTCATAGATCTAAACTTACTCCCTGTTCAGTACATCCACACTTACTACTGTGCAATCTACATCTACAGGACCTTAAACTCCAATATCAACCTTGACCTAAAATGCTTTCTTGATAGTTGTGACAGAACCCACAGGCATAACACCAGACACAAACATCTCTACAACATTCCCCGTGTCCGACTAAACCTTTACAAAAATTCTATGTATGTCGAAGGCCCTAAAATCTGGAACACCCTACCTGAGAACTCTAGAGCTGCAGACACATTCATCACCTTCAAAACTACCATTAGAAAACATCTTATCTCCCTGATACACCCCATCAACTAACTACACGAATACCACCTGGTGGTTCACACTTACACTCACTCACCCATTTGACCATAAACAGAAATATTAATCTCAATCTTAAAATAATGAATCCTGTGATACTCCAATACTGAAACTATGTACCGTGCCAAAACAAAAGCATTCACATTGCTAAACTCACAAATTAGAATTTAGTCACTTAGCCATAATACCAACTTACCTCATAATTTGTAATATTTTAAAATTAAGAATTAAACTAAGTCTGCCCGAAATGCCTAGCTATGCTAGGTGTTCTAGTGGTACACTGTAATTATTTTACTACATGTAAACCACACAATAACCAAATTCTGTAAACTCAGCATTGTAATCCTTATAGAGAATAAACTTTGAATTTGAATTTGAATTTGGGAAGTATACCCCTCAAGGAAGGTTCCTTGATGTTGGTGAGGGGCTCTTGATTTGGGGAATTGGATCTGTGCTCCAGTTCCCCGGATTAATCCTGAATGCTTTCCACATCCCCCCCCCCAGGCGCTGTATAATCCTCCGGGTTTAGCGCTTCCCCCTTGATTATAATAATTATAATAATAATTTGTGAAGTATACAGTGTGTAGAAGCCTACTATTGTGAAGGCGAAAGTTTCAGCAAAGTCAACTGTTGCATGTGTCTTACTGCTCAACTTCCCGGTATTTTATACCATTTACAATATAGAATTTATCACAAGGATGCGAAGTGTACAGCCTAGGCAATAACATTAAAAGTTTTATAGTAAATTCGTGTTATTCGTTACCATATTATTCAGTTTAACACAAATAAATTGTGTAAGTATAAAAATCACTAGAAGTAATAGTGAAACTTGCACAAATAACCCGAACGTAGGAGACAAACTAATGACGTTTCGGTCTGACTTGGAACATTAGAGTTACTAGTTAACTGTAAAGCCGAAGTGAAACGTCGTCAAAAGTTTATCTCCTACGTGGAGATTATTTGTGTTTTGTTCCAGCCATGGTACTGTGCCTTTTTATTCTTTAGCGAAACTTACATTTTTCTCCTGTTACTGGGAGTGTTGTAGGACAACCTCCTACGGTACGTTAGCCTCACCATTTTTTACCTGTAAATAAATATTCCGGCATTACACAGCATTCTTACACATTAAATACACATCACTACTATTTTAAGAACAATTTATCATTCACATTTGACTAGATACTAGCAGTATACGGCGGATGACGGCAGATAAACGTAGCATTCTTGATACCTTGTTGGTGATGATGGTGGAGATGCGGGAAGGAGCGTAATGGTGACGACCATCAACATAAACATTACGTACATTGTTTCAACGGCATCACATTGTCAACCATTTATTGTAATTATTATAATCAAGGTAAGCATTCGACACGAAAGGGTCATACAGCGACATTAATTATCATATTTCACGCAATTATTTGAAAATGTAAATCTTTATTTAATGTTAATGTAAATAACTTTATCTTATTCCTATTATATCTCATTTTTTTGTAAATGATTTTCACACAGTTGAGTTACTTGACTGTTTTAGCTTTTAAGGTTTAATTCATAAGATATGACAACGACCCCAATGGAAAAAGGTCACTTTATTTGACCTTTTTTTTTGGGGGGGGGTTACCCTAGGTAATTGTGTGTAATTACCTAGATAATTACCTAGGATAGCCTAACAGTCAATTATGTGATTTATTCTGACTCGAGGCCTTGTGTTATCAGTATTTTTATTCTTACGTAGGCATAAAATATGACAGTCTTATTCTATATCCTTTTGAGCTCATCTATTTGCATTGTTACAGCAGCGGGGAACCAGCGTGTAGCAGTATAATAATCTTTATTTACTACAAGTACATGTACATGGTATACAGTCCTAGCTGACAACAATGACATACTACTACATAGAAAGCCACTTGTTATGCTGAGCAACTCGGGCAAATTAGGTCAGTGTCCCAGGATGCGACCCACACCAGTCGACTAACACCCAGGTACCCATTTTACTGGTGGGGAACAAAGACAACAGGTGGAAAGAAACACGCCCAATGTTTCTACTCTGGCTGAGAATCGAACCCAGGCCCTCGCCGTGTGAAGCAAGAGCGTTAACCACCAGGCCACCAAGGGTAGTTTAGATGATGTAATTCCCAGTTTTGTTCTAATGTTGGAAATTGCAATTAAGGATACAGTATAGTGGTGCCTGTCCATGTTGGATATGTCACAAATCAATTCTGGTTTGTCCCAATGCATGAAACGACCCTCTTCAGAACTGTGCAAGAGACAAGCATTTTTGGTGTTGTCTAGTTTGCACACACTTGTGTTTATGGACCTAAATGGAAAGATTCCTTCCCATTTCTCCTATGTAGACCTTGTTGCATCTCCCTGCATGATAAAGTGTACACTCCTGCTTTGCTGTTGGGTCTGTCATAGGGATCTTTCTTACTGGTAAGACCTCTGATGGAAGATGTGGTCATTGTAGCTACTCAGATGTTGCTTCTTGAAAGGTAGCATCAGGACTTTGGGTTTCTTGGTGTTGGTATAGTTAAATGAGTTAAGTATATTCATAGCTCTGCATATGCAATTGTGTATAAAGGGAGGGAAGGGTAAATGTGTGAAGGCACAGGCAATGTACTGAAATTCTTCTTAAAAATTGACTGGAGGTAAGGATATCTCTTTGGTAAAAACTTATGATGAAGCATTTCTTGGTTTAAGTGTTGTGTTGTGAGTATTATTATTACAATCAAAACTAAGCACCAAACCCACAAGGATCATACAGTGCTGTTGTGGTGCAAGTAGAAATGAGTAAGGTCATATTTATTCGAGAGGTTTCTGTAAACTCTGCAAGGCATGGTGTCCGGTGTCTTCATTTGGTGACCTACATAGAACATAAAAAAACTGTATTATTATTATAATCAAATAAAGCGCTAAACCAACAAGGGTCATGCAGCTCAAGAATTTGCAGATTGCCTTGTTTGCTAGTTCAAGAGTGAATCTAACAGTAGGTTCAACATTGATCTTACAAAGGTCTTGTATGTTATTAATTTCACAGGGGAGTGCCAAACCTTTAAGGGGTTATAGAGCACCTAAGAAATGGACAGCATTCAGGCTAAATTCCATAAGATGACCATGTGTAGGTATAGCATGACCAGTGCTCGTGCATGCAAGTACAATATTTCTTCCCAAAATAGCAGCAACTGAGAGAGCTGCCAAAAGCCCAACTGTTGTTTGATGGAACTCAGCTTGTTGGTAATGTACCCAAAGTCACTTAGTATTTAGTCCACTTACTCCACAATTTGTAATAATTTAGGGTTAAGAATTAATGTAAGTTTGCCCGAAATGCCTAGCCATGCTAGGTGTTCTAGTGGCCCCCTCTGTAATTAGTATTTTATTACATGTAAACCACACAAAAACCAAAATTTTTAAGCCCCGCATTGTAATCCTTATAGAGAATAAACTTTGATTTGATTTGAAGTATAGTGTATATAGAATTTCTTGTAAAGGCTGCAACCATTCAGGTAAAAATTTAATCAGATGTCTTGTTTGACATGCACTGAACATCTGAACAATTTTCCAGCAAGAACCATAAATATAGTACTGTATTAATATGGGAGTTTTTTTTTTTTTTAACACGTTGACCGTTTCCCAAGAGTAAGCTCTGAACTCGTAGAGGTCACAGTGCATAGGGAATAGGAGGCAATTAGGTTCAATCCAGTGATAAGATAGGCTTACTTCTTGAATCAAGAGGCATCAAGGCTCTGACGTATACATGCCTTCACATACATGTCTTGCACACTTTTTAGTCTGGTGAATAGGACCAGTGGTAGATCAAAATATAAATTACTTTCCATTTTTTTTTTTATCTCAATGGCATCTCCTGTCAAGGCAGAGTGACCCAAAGGAGGCAATACATTCACCATCATTCATTCAATTGCTGTCTTGCCAGAAGTGTGCTGACATCACAATTCATATTACCCTCCAGCTGCAATGTCCCCAACCCGCCTTCATTGTAGGAAATCATCCCCTCCTACCTCTAGGACTCAAGTCTGGCTAACTGGCTTTCCTGGAATTCCTTCTTAAATGTTGTCTTGCTAACATTCCTACAGCACGTCCTTTTCTTGTTTTAACATTTCAATGTGTATTCATTCATTCTCATTCTCTCCCTCTCATACCTCTTTCTCACATATACATGTCAGTTGCTAGTTCATAACATTTTAAAATTTACAGTAATGAGAAAATAGATGGCATATACATATGCATATGTACAAAAATTAATTATCCCATTTTGGAAAAACACACACACAAAAAAAAAGGATTCATATTTAACAAAAAAACACTTAAAATAAAAAATATTTTTTGCATATATTTAAAAAAGTTGGTTCTATGTTGCCCATCATTACATGATTACTACAACAGAAGAGTCAAATAAATTTCCTAAACTTTTATTATCTAATGTAGACAAATTATAATCTTGCAACACATTGCTGGAGTTGATAGATAGCTATGTATAAAAAATCTGATTACAATCTTGTACTTGTAAATGCAATATTGCACAATTCAAATTTCCAATTATTTTAGCTTTCTTGTTTTCTTCAGTAAACTTAGTTTGTTTACTTCATTTTAAGTGCTAAACCCATGCGTTTCAGTGTAAGATGTGGTGGAGGCTTGATCCTCCGAGTGCCAGACAGACACGCTCTCAATTTTCTTCAGTAAATACCTTTTAATATTAATGCTGATGACATATGTAAAAATTATTAAGAGGTATTTCTTCAATGCAGACTAAAAAATTACTTTTTCTAAACACTTTAATAAATAGCTATCCCAGGATGCTATATAATTATCAAACTTCCTTAGCACAAAAGCAAATTCTTGGAAAGATATTATCTGGATTGTGGTTGACATGGCACTAATCAACTCTACACCTTGTTATCTAAACTTATATTGGGAATTAAAAAAAAAATTTTTTTTGCTTATTGCATCATCATTGCTGTCCTAAAATATCTTTTGTATTACCCATGAAATATTACTCATAATCTTTTAAAGGGCCAAACTCTAATTACACTATAGTACAATGAAAGTTTCTCCAGATTATGATAATAGATTTCTTCAGTCATAGGTAGTCAGTTCTTTTATTAAAAATTTTATTTATCTTATTCATCATCATCAGCATGTAAGTCGCTCATTCGTTTCTTTACAATGCTCATGATTCCCTTCATCTTCTCCCAAGTTCCCAGAGCATCAGGCAAGTTTTCAAATACAATATGATCCGACACATCAACTGTCCATTTATCTGCACTTGGGAGAGTTTTATAAGGTGTACAAGACTCAGGAATAATAACTCCTAACTTGAAGCTCTTTGAATTTGATCGATGATGATAAGTCTGCTTGGAATCATTTTCACTTAAGTCATTACTGGAATTTTCAGACTGGCTTAATTCATTGACAGAATGGCTGGAGAGCCTGCTGTCTTCTGAAATTTCACCCACTTGTTCAACATTAACAGCATGGACATCTTTACTATTTTTAATCTTCTGACTTTTTTCTACATCTCCATCAGCACTTTGCACTGCTGTATCTTCCAGTTCCTTCAGTATTTTGAGCCTTTTAACTTCCAAGTCACCTAGAGAAGCTTGTGAGTCTTCACTGATTTCTCCCTCCTCTATATCTATAACCTGAAATATAATAATAATAAAGTTTACAGTTTTTTACTGGTAATGCACTTATTAATGGAATGGCTAATGAGGCCAACAACTCACTCACTATTTTTTTTTACTTAATGGCCATCTCCCACCAAGTAAGGGTGACCCAAAGAAAACATATTCATCATCATTCATTCAATCACCATCTTCCTTGAGGTGTGTTGACATCACAATCAGATCACCTTCCAACTGCAACCTCACAATGCTACTAGCTACAAATGAACAGAGGAGCAGATAGACTGATGAATGGATGGAAGGACTGACAGCAGGACCTAAAGACAGGTGGATGGGCTGACAAATATGTAGATTAGCAGACAAGTGGATAGACTAAGGGATGAGTGGATAGACTGACATGTGTAGATGAACTGATGGATGGGTGCAGGCTAGTAGAATGGACTAGAAGCTAGAGCTAATCCTTCTTGAGCAATGTGAGATTAACAGAAGCTAGAAGCTAAAGCTCAACCATCTCGAATACTGCTAGGCTAAGAGCAGGAACTAAAAGCTGAAGTTCAACCTCCTTAAATAATACACAAATAACCCACTTAGGAGTGTGACTTGGCAATGGTCCAGGTTGAACCGAAACATCTTCATTACTTTCCCTTTCCTAAATATGAGTTATTTGTGTTTTGTTCCAGCCATAGTACTGCAACTTTATATTCCTCAAACACTGTATAAGTAACTTTAAATATAATATGCAACATAACACTATAAGGGGTTTTTAATGGTAAAAAATAATTTTTTTTTTCTATTTATCAGAGTTCTTCATAATTTGATAAACCAGATAACTTACTTTCTTTGGAAGTGGTGGTAGTGGTGGCACATCCAGTGGGGGAGGTGGTGGCAAGGGCTCCAGAGGCAGGGGTGGGTTGAACTCTATCTCTGTTGATCTGGCAATTCCACTTTCTGATTAAAGAAATTAACTTGTGAAGAATAAGCTCTTAAATATATGATATCTATTCCTCCACATTTTTAAATAAACACATTATGTATTGCAACCACCTAATTTTATAGCATGGGATTTACTTGGCAAAACATGGTTAAGTCCCTCAGGTGAATATATCTTAAAAAAAAAAAAAAAAAAAAACATACAAGATGCCAGGCAGCACCAGGGCCTAGGGCAATTCATGTGTTATGATTCTATCCAAGAACTATGCTACCATCTCCCCACCCCTAAAAACCCACTCTGCAGTTGAAATTTACCACTACTCTCATGTTGTTTACTGGATGATTACTATGCTGTTATGGACATTATGATCCCCCTTTCCTCATCATCAGTAATTACCTAATGGTACCTAAAAGGACTGCTATCAATAGTGGAAGTTAGAAGAAAGGTAAGAGATGTGTGTCATGAAATGTAGCTCCATTAATTTCCTGTAGGAATTTGTATATGATTTTTTTTTTTTTCAACAAGTCGGCCGTCTCCCACCGAGGCAGGGTGACCCAAAAAGAAAGAAAATCCCCAAAAAGAAAATACTTTCATCATCATTCAACACTTTCACCACACTCACACATTATCACTGCTTTTGCAGAGGTGCTCAGAACACAACAGTTTAGAAGCATATACGTATAAAGATACACATATCCCTCCAAACTGCCAATATCCCAAACCCCTCCTTTAAAGTGCAGGCATTGTACTTCCCATTTCCAGGACTCAAGTCCGACTATATGAAAATAACCGGTTTCCCTGAATCCCTTCACTAAATATTACCCTGCTCACACTCCAACAGATTGTCAGGTCCCAAGTATCATTCGTCTCCATTCACTCCTATCTAACACGCTCATGCACGCTTGCTGGAAGTCCAAGCCCCTTGCCCACAAAACCTCCTTTATCCCCTCTTTCCAACCCTTTCGAGGACGACCCCTACCCCTCCTTTCTTCCCCTAAAGATTTATATGCTTTCCATGTCATTCTACTTTGATCCATTCTCTCTAAATGACCAAACCACCTCAACAACCCCTCTTCTGCCCTCTGACTAATGCTTTTATTAACTCCACACCTTCTCCTAATTTCCACACTCCGAATTTTCTGCATAATATTTACACCACACATTGCCCTTAGACAGGACATCTTCACTGCCTCCAACCATCTCCTCGCTGCTGCATTTACCACCCAAGCTTCACATCCATATAAGTGTTGGTACTACTATACTTTCATACATTCCCTTCTTTGCCTCCATAGATAACGTTTTTTGACTCCACATATACCTCAATGCACCACTCACCTTTTTTCCCTCATCAATTCTATGATTAACCTCATCCTTCATAAACCCATCCGCTGACACGTCAACTCCCAAGTATCTGAAAACATTCACTTCTTCCATACTCCTCCTCCCTAATTTGATATCCAGTTTTTCTTTATCTAAATCATTTGATACCCTCATCACCTTACTCTTTTCTATGTTCACTTTTAACTTTCTACCTTTACACACATTCTCAAACTCATCCACTAACCTTTGCAATTTTTCTTTAGAATCTCCCATAAGCACAGTATCATCAGCAAAAAGTAACTGTGTCAGTTCCCATTTTGAATTTGATTCCCCATAATTTAATCCCACCACTTAGACCAACATTTTTATCAGAAGTGTATAGAATATTGTAATCTTACCATCAACTTCCATCTCTGCCCCGGAAGCTATACTATCATTAAGGCTTTTACTCCTTAGTTCAGAGCCCTTAAGTTTCTTCTTCTTATATGCCTCAGCCTTGTTCATGTTCATGTATCTCAAAAATTCACTTCTTTGGTGGATAGGTTGCATTGGTGGGAAATTGTACTGCTGCCATTCCTAGAAGATTACAGAATTTTTATAAAAAGCATGCATAGAAATAAATATGTGATACAGCATATGAAAAAATTAATTGTAAAATCAGTCATACAGGTAAACTAAAAACAGATAAGGCAAATTCTCACAGAAGAGTAAAGGTGAAAAAAGGCTTAAATAAGACCCCTGTACAAGGTCAAGCATATTATTGATTTGTTACCTGTTAATGGTTCTGAGGATCATCATCCCTATCTCAGGGCAGGAATAATTACTATTAAGGAATACACAAGAAAGCAAAAAATAAGTGAATGTAAATAGAGGTTTTGTAAGATTTACTTTTTAATTTCTCTCAAATTATCTGCCCTTTGGATATAAATATATACTGTGGTGCAAGCCCTCTCCTGTTCCTTCTGTTTCAATTACCTATCAAATGCAACCCATCACCTCAAAATCAATATTATTTGTTGATGACACTGCTTTCGTTTTCTCAGGTCCTGACCCTATCACCATTAATGAAAGTAATTGATAAATTAAAAAATATCCCCACATGGATGATAGCTGACACATTTCATCTAGAAAAGATCTACTACATGCTGTTTAATAATAAAATATCTAGCCAAATAAATCTTAGCATAAATGGCAAACAAGTGAATAGAAACAGTTAAGAAAAAATTCTAGGCTTGCACCCAGACAATGAACTAAAGTTCTAAGATGTTCAGACCAAAGCTGAAGGCAAATGTTTTTCATCATTGTACAAATACACTCACATCTTTTACACCACGAGGAACTGAATCATTGAAGCCAGGATAACTAACAAGGCTCTCTGGTTTATATTTGACTGTTGTGGATTCTTCACCTTCCTCTGTATCTGGATGAGAAACACCTGCAAAAGAAGAATGCAAGATGTAAAAATGGAAGAAATGTGCCATATCCACATAAACACCAGTGTCAAAGCTGACGAAGAATGAATAGGTGATTATTGTTACTTTTAAAGCTTTCTCTTACTATTTAAGAAGATTTTTTTTTTTAACACACTGGCTGTCTCCCACGGAGATAGGGCAACCCAAAAAAGAAACACTTTCACCATCATTCACACTATCACTGTCTTGCCAGAGGCACACAGATATGACAGTTCAGATGTCCCTCCAAACAGCAAATATCCCAAGTCCTCCTTTAGTACAGACACTATACTTCCCATGTTTATAATTTCCATGTTTATAATTTCCATTCTTTTAATCATAGCACAAAACTATAAATATACACTAAACAAAACAGATTTTATCTATACTATGTCTAGGTCCATGAGTTCATGATGCTTTCCCTCTTTCATCAATGAAATATAAGTTCTACACCTGCTATCTCACTACTTGCACTCTTTCTCTTCAAACATCATTGCTGATGCTAAGGGAATATTTTTTTTTAACACACTGGCCATCTTCCACTGAGGTATGGTGACCCAAATACAGTATATACTTTCACCATCATTCACACTCACTATTTTATATCTGGAAACAACTAATCATACATAAGAAATTCAATACAAAATAGACTTACTCTCCCCAGAAGCATCATACATTTTCACATCTGCTTGGTGAACCTCAGCATCCAAAAGCCACCCAGGTGGATACCCTAAAACACGCATTCGATAGATATATAGAGGTAACTGGTGTGGTTTAAGTCCTAAAGCATGTCGAAGACCTTCACTAAGCTTCCCAGGCTGGAAGTGTCCAAATTTATTTTCACTGTCTTCATGATATCTCCTGCAATAAAAGTATGCTAATTTTATTTCTTTCCATTTTCTATTCATTTTGAAAGTACGTACTTGACTAGGAATAAACATCATTAACTCAAATAAAATATTATATATTTATGAATTTGTACTTGGAATTTAGATAATCCTTAAATAAGTTTATCTTATTAGAAAACTAAGACAGTAGTGAAAGGTATCTTAAACATTATAAGAGATATATTGATGACATCTTTCTACTTCATGAGGATTTTATTGAGACTCATATGAACTTGTTTTGCGTAGTCTCTCTAACTTGTTTATGCATACATTAAAGGTGAAATGAACAAGTCCTTCCATACCAGAGAAGTGTGAAAGAAACAGAAGTACAGTAGTTCCATTGTATCCGCAGGCGATGTGTTCCAAGACATACCAAGGATACCCAAAACCATGGATAGTAGCAAACCCTATATATATGTCATTTTTCCTTTACATACTTTTTTTTTTTTAACAAGTCGGCCGTCTCCCACTGAGGCAAGGTGACCCAAAAAGAAAGAAAAAATCCCCAAAAAGAAAATACTTTCATCATCATTCAACACTTTCACCTCACTCACACATAATCACTGTTTTTGCAGAGATGCTCAGAACACAACAGTTTAGAAGCATATACGTATAAAGATACACAACATATCCCTCCAAATTGCTAATATCCCAAAACCCCTCCTTTAGAGTGCAGGCATTGTACTTCCTATTTCCAGGACTCAATTCCAGCTATATAAAAATAACCGGTTTCCTTGAATCCCTTCACTAAATATTACCCTGCTCACACTCCAACAGATCGTCAGGTCCCAAATACCATTAGTCTCCATTCACTCCTATCGAACACGCTCATGCACGCCTGCTGGAAGTCCAAGCCCCTCACCCACAAAACCTCCCTTACCCCTTCCTTCCAACCTTTTTGAGGACGACCCCTACCCCACCTTCCTTCCCCTACAGGTTTAAATGCTCTCCATGTCATTCTACTTTGATCCATTCTCTCTAAATGACCAAACCACCTCAACAACCCCTCTGACTAATACTTTTATTAACTCCACACTTTCTCCTAATTTCCACACTCCGAATTCTCTGCATAACATTTACACCACACATTGCCCTTAGACAGGACATCACTGCCTCCAACCGTCTCCTCGCTGCTGCATTCACAACCCAAGCTTCACACCCATATAAGAGTGTTGGTACTACTATACTTTCATACATTCCCTTCTTTGCCTCCGTAGACGTTTTTTGTCTCCACATATACCTCAACGCACCACTCACCTTTTTTCTCTCATCATACCTATGATAAAGTTTAATTGATAAATTAAGCAAAGTAAGTCTAGAATTATCACTTTTTCATTTATGGGAAGCATTTCACAGCTTCTCTCAGGCTTTGAACTGCCAGCATCACTACTTTTGCACTTTGAGGCCATTATTAAGCAAAATGAAGGATTATTTTTGGGTCACAGTAAACAGTAGATAACTGAAACTGCAGACATTGAATCTGTGGATGTGGGGGCCCTATTGTATTTCCAAAAATGTCATTCAGAGTTAAATTGGGGTACTCCCCATATCTGCTAGGGTCTTGACTCCAATGTAAACGAATATACAAAGTTTAATGGCAAACCAAAAAATTACAAGTGTATAAGTACTGCACATTTCAAAAGGATGTTAATCTGCTTTGGACTGTAAATGTTAGAAGAAAACTACAAAATGCATATGCATTGCATCTGCACAAATATAGACCAAATAAAAAACTCAAATATGTTTAACAACAATGATACAAGAAATAAAAAGTACAGTATAGACTACAAAATAAAAATTATAACTCTGGAGATAATTTCTTTGGAAGACAAAAAAAAAAAAAAAAAAAAAAAAAAAAAAAAACAAGACTATGTTGATAATTGTCCAGAGTGAAATGAAGTATCACCTCAAGTTTGTGGGTTAGCTATGAAATATAAAATGCATGTCTCATTTTAACATTTAATACAAAGACTTAAATATCTTACACGTTAGATCCTCGAGTAGTCATGTGCTTTCTCCGGTTTGCGGAAATTTTCCCATGGTCTAGCGGGTCTGGACATTCTGATAAGTTGTGATCAGCCAAACAGTTAAAGCATCGCTTCTTTGGTCGTGCATCGTTGATTCTCTTGCCGGTTATCATGCTGTACTCAATGTCATTAAGCACACCAGAAAAGTCCTGCAACACAAAAAAATAATGAAATGCATAAATATTCATATACAGTAGGGCCCCGCTTTACGGCGTTCTGCTGATACGGTCATTTCAAATTATGACCAAAACTCTCTACACGGCTCCCCCCCACCTGACTTTCTAATGTGGTTACCGTGCCCCACCCGGTTTGTTTACATTCTATGTGAGATCCGTAAGCACTAAGTCTCTCCATGTCTGGAAACTCCAAAATTTCAAGTGTTTTTAAAAGTTACTTCATATTTTATATTCTTTCTTTCTTCTTTCAACACACCGGCCATATCCCACCGAGGTGGGGTGGCCCAAAAGAGAAAATAAGTTTCGCCTTTCACACTCAGTAATATATACAGGAGAAGGGGTTACTAGCTCCTTGCTCCTGGCATTTTAGTCGCCTCTTACAACACACATGGCTTACGGAGGAAGAATTCTGTTCCACTTCCCCATGGAGGTAAGAGAAAATAAACAAGAACAAGAACTAGTAAGAAAACAGAAGAAAACCCAGAGGGGTGTATATATATATGCTTGTACATGTATGTGTAGTGTGCCCTAAGTGTAAGTAGAAGTAGCAAGACGTACCTGAAACCTTGCAAGTTTATGAGACAGAAAAATGGACACCAGCAATCCTACCATCATGTAAAACAATTACAGGCTTTCGTTTTACACTCACTTAGCAGGATGGTAGTACCTCCCTGGGTGGTTGCTGTTTACCAACCTATTACCTACAAGTAATACATTTATGGGTGACAATTTAGACACATTTAAATAAATAATTATAAACTACTGTAATACAATTTCAATAATTCAGGCACATATAATAATTTATTAACAAGTTAAAGATAATACAAATAACAGATGTGGAATACTTAGTGACATACTGTTTCATAAGAAGGTGTTATATCCACAGGTGCTTGAGACTCAAATGCCGTCTTCACAGTAATATTGGTTTCATCCCCATCTATGTCTAGACACACTCCCTCTGGCATTGCAACTTCTGCAATATTAAATATATTCAATTTAATAATAATAATAATCATAGAATTGATGAGGGAAAAAAGGTGAGTGGTGCGTTGAGGTATATGTGGAGTCAAAAAACGTTATCTATGGAGGCAAAGAAGGGAATGTATGAAAGTAAAGTAGTACCAACACTCTTACATGGATGTGAAGCTTGGGTGGTAAATGCAGCAGCGAGGAGACGGTTGGAGGCAGTGGAGATGTCCTGTCTAAGGGCAATGTGTGGTGTAAATATTATGCAGAAAATTCGGAGTGTGGAAATTAGGAGGTGTGGAGTTAATAAAAGTATTAGTCAGAGGGCAGAAGAGGGGTTGTTGAGGTGGTTTGGTCATTTAGAGAGAATGGATCAAAGTAGAATGACATGGAAAGCATATAAATCTATAGGGGAAGGAAGGAGGGGTAGGGGTCGTCATCAAAAGGGTTGGAAAGAGGGGGTAAAGGAGGCTTTGTGGGCAAGGGGCTTGGACTTCCAGCAAGCGTGCATGAGCGTGTTAGATAGGAGTGAAAGGAGACGAATGATACTTGGGACCTGACGATCTGTTGGAGTGTGAGCAGGGTAATATTTAGTGAAGGGATTCAAGGAAACCGGTTATTTTCATATAGTCGGACTTGAGTCCTGGAAATGGGAAGCACAATGCCTGCACTTTAAAGGAGGGGTTTGGGATATTGGCAGTTTGGAGGGATATGTTGTGTATCTTTATACGTATATGCTTCTAAACTGTTGTATTCTGAGCACCTCTGCAAAAGCAGTGATAATGTGTGAGTGTGGTGAAAGTGTTGAATGATGATGAAAGTATTTTCATTTTTGGGGATTTTCTTTCTCTTTTGGGTCACCCTGCCTCGGTGGGAGATGGCCGACTTGTTGAAAAAAAAAAATAATAATAATAATAATAATAATAATAAAAGTAATGCTGATACAAAAATATTACACTATAGTAAAACAATATAATATACCCTGTCTTGGTGGGAAATGGCCAATGTGTTAAAAAAAAAAAAATATATAACTAGGTAGTAGGTTGATAGACAGCAACCACCCAGGGAGGTACTCCCATCCTGCCAAGTGACTGAAACAGATACCTGTAATGGTTTTACATGATGGTAGAATTGCTGGTGTCTTTCTTGTGTGTCCTAAACACATGGAAAAACAGGTATATCTTACTACTTCTACTTACACTTAGGTAACACTACACATGTATATACTTTCTTCTTTCAACAAACAGGCCGTATCCCACTGAGGCAGGGAGCCCAAAAGGAAAAACAAAAGTTTCTCCTTTTACATTTAGTAATATATACATGAGAAGGGGTTACTAGCCCCTTGCTCCCGGTATTTTAGTCGCCTCTTACGACACGCATGGCTTATGGAGGAAGAATTCTGTTCCACTTCCCCATGGAGGTAAGAGGAAATAAACAAGAACAAGAACTAGCAAGAAAATAGAAGAAAACCCAAAGGGGTGTGTATATATATGCTTGTACATGTGTAGTGTGACCTAAGTGTAAGTAGAAGCAGCAAGACGTACCTGAAACCTTGCATGTTTATGAGACAGAAAAAAGACACCAGCAATCCCACCATCATGTAAAACAATTACAGGTTTCCATTTTACACTCACTTGGCAGGACGGTAGTACCTCCCTGGGCAGTTGCTATTTACCAACCTACTACCTATAATATGTACTGTATATATATGCATATATATTTACACACCCATCTGTGTTTTCTTCTATTTTCTTAACAGTTCTTGTTCTTCTTTATTTCCTCTTACCTCCATGGGGAAGTGGATAAGAATCTTCCTCCATAAGCTATGCATGTTGTATAATGCCAGGAACAAGGGGCTCCCTTCTGTATAATTTTTTTTTTTTCAACAAGTCGGCCGACTCCCACCGAGGCAGGGTGACCCAAAAATGAAAGAAAATCCCCAAAAAGAAAATATTTTCATCATCATTCAACACTTTCACCACACTCACACATTATCACTGCTTTTGCAGAGGTGCTCAGAATACAACAGTTTAGAAGCATATACGTATAAAGATACACAACATATCCCTCCAAACTGCCAATATCCCAAACCTCTCCTTTAAAGTGCAGGCATTGTACTTCCCATTTCCAGGACTCAAGTCCGACTATATGAAAATAACCGGTTTCCCTGAATCCTTTCACTAAATATTACCCTGCTCATACTCCAACAGATCGTCAGGTCCCAAGTATCATTCGTCTCCATTCACTCCTATCTAACACGCTCATGCACGCTTGCTGGAAGTCCAAGCCCCTCGCCCACAAAACCTCCTTTACCCCCTCTTTCCAACCCTTTTGAGGACGACCCCTACCCCTCCTTCCTTCCCCTATAGATTTATATGTTTTCCATGTCATTCTACTTTGATCCATTCTGTATAAATTACTAAGTGTAAAAAGAAAGAAAGACTTTTTTTTTTTTTTTTGAGTTACCCTGCTTTCATGGGATATGGCCAGTTTGTAAAAAATAAAAAAATACATGCAATAACTTTTAAAACATTTGAAATTCTGAAAACTTTCCAGACATAATCAAGAGACGTGGAGCTCACAGAGGATGTAAACACAGTGGTGCATGGACACCATAATAGGAAATCAGGGAGCTGTATCAACAAATTTCTGGTCAAAGTGAATTGCCATAAAGCATAGCACTGTAAAGCAAGGCCTGCCTGTAATGTATATTTAGGTTTCAGAGAATATCCTGAATATATAAGTATGATGTAATTTTTCAGTCCACATCAACTGTGTTTTCAAGACCAGTGTACAACATACTTGCATGAAAATCTTATATTACAATTATTTAAAGGTATAATATTCATCAAAATACACTGAATATATTGGGTGATCCTAGGTTAAATCTACATAATGTGCTCTGGCTGAATTCCACTGTAAGTATCATGAAATTATAATGATTATGGAATGAATAAGGAATCTTCTTGGTAGTTTCATGCCCTGTTTGCCAGTAGGGAAGTTGCTGCTGGAATAAAAGGTCTTGGTTTCACTGTTTACATATGTTAGTTATGCAGTGTTACCCATGATGCACTACATGACCTGATCTGGTCTTAGATTTTTACCAACGCTGTAAGAGACCCAAACATTTATTCTGAGGTCAAAAGTAACGGTAAGTGGCATTTTTAAAGTCACGGAGGGGTGGAGATATGTTGCAGCTTTTGAACTGTAGTATCAGCATGTCTCTGGCAAGACAGTGATGAAGCTAGTGATGATAAAACTGTTTCTTCTTTTTCTGGTCACCCTGCCTCAGTGGGAAACAGCCAGTGAGTTAAAAAAAAAAAATAGTACATTGGATACAGTTATTACTTCATACTAATACACTGGTTACAGTTAAAAGGTTAAAGATTACCTGTAGCACACCTCCTCACCAAGTGGAATGAAAAACAATAAAAAGACATAGGAACCTGTACTGTACTAACCATACGAGCTGTCTTCTATTACACTTTCACTGGCTTCACCTGTGGCATCAAGTACAATTACATCATCAATTGATGGAAGATCACTGGGGTTTTCTGGTACACTCTGGATTATGCTCTCATCTTTCAGTAATTCTGAAAATATATTATAAATACAGTGGAACTTCGGTTTTCATATCCCCTAGCTGGAGACAATTCTGGAGAAAATTCTCTATAAAATGTATTTTTTGTTAACCCTCTCAGGGTCAAGAGGCCCTCTCCAGAACTCCTTCTCAGGGTCGAAAATTTTTCGGAAAAAAAAATTATCTTTTCTTAACCCTTTGACTGTCACGGCCGTATATATACATCTTACGAGGTACCATGTTTGACGTATATATACTCGTAAATTACCAATTTCAACTATCCAATAAAGTCTTTAGAAATTGGCAATTTTGCCAATTTCACACAAATTTCAGAAGATGCCAGTTTCCAAATAGGGTCCGGAATAAACAAGACAGACATTCCTGGCACTAAAATAACAAGTTCTCTGTTTGTCAGTCATGTCCCCAGGCCCCTCTTACATTTCTTTTGCTTTCCACTTTGAATTTTTATTCTCACAAAAAATAGATTTACTGTTATGCAGACTACTGCATTAGTGTAGAAATGGTATAAATAATATCAGCGCACTTGTGAAAGAATATTAGACTCACTAGTTGACGTGTATTGGATGCTTGGCATGATTTGTTTACTTTTGAGCTTTGGTAAAAATCGAACATTTCTGCTACTTTGAGCTCAATTTCAAGGTACTTTTCATTGTGAAACCAATCAAAATCATCTCAATTTCTGTAATATGTTTACCATTCTATAAAATGAGACCTGGAAAACTAGAATACAACCATAAATACCATACTAAAATACAGTGCAAATTCGCTGTTTTAACCCCTTGAGTGTTGCAACTCCCAATCCTGAGGTGTCTCCTGGTGTCGAAAAATTAAAAAAAAAAAAAAAAATATTTTTCTTATGAAATGATAAGAGAATCTTTTCCCGATTGTAATGACACCAAAAGAACAAAATTTGATGGAAAACTGACGGAATTACGCTCTCACAAAGCTAACGACCTCGGCGATATTTACAAATCGGCGATTTCGCCCACTTTGAGCCCTATTTTCGGCTAATTCCATTGTTCTAGTCGACCAAACTCATAGCTATTTCTTTAGAACTCTGTTTTTTCTATCGACTGAGTACAAGAAACTGCCTATTTACCTATGTCAACTACCCAATAATGTGGTCAGAAATTTACAATTTGGCCAATTTCACAAAAATTAAAAAATATGACAATTTCAAAATAAGGTCCAGAATGAACAATGCAGACATTCCTGGCTCTAAAATAACATTTTCTTTGTTCATCAGTCATGTTTCCAGGCCCCTCTGATATTACTCTTGCTTTCTATTTTTAATTTTTATTCAAACAAAAAAATAGAATATTTACTGTTATTCAGACTACTGCAATACTGTAATAATTGTACAAATAATGTCAACCCATTCATGGCTGCATATTAGAATGGCTAGTTGGACATTTATTGGACAATGACATCATTTGTTAACTTTTGAACATCGGCAAAAATTAAACATTTCTCCTACTTTGAGCTCCATTTCCAGGTTGTTTTTTAGTAAAACCAATCAAAATCACCTCTATTTCTATAATATGTTTTCCATTCTATCAAATGAGACCAAGAAAACGAGAATACGACCATAAATACTATACGAAAATAGACCACAAAGTCGGCGTTTTAACCCTTAAATGGTCCAAACGTATATATACGTTTTTTCAACATCTGAAAGTATGTAAAAAAATGTAGATCTTCTTTTTTGTTTTACCTTTGAAAACATGTAAAAAAACTTTTACCTACATTTTTTTTGTTATATTTGAAGATACAGTGGACCCCCGCATAACGATCACCTCCGAATGCGACCAATTATGTAAGTGTATTTATGTAAGTGCGTTTGTACGTGTATGTTTGGGGGTCTGAAATGGACTAATCTACTTCACAATATTCCTTATGGGAACAAATTCGGTCAGTACTGGCACCTGAACATACTTCTGGAGTGAAAAAAGTTCGTTAACCGGGGATCCACTGTATGTAAAAAAAAGTAGATTTACTTTTGTAGCACTATGAATCTGAACGTCAATCTGTTTGGACCATTTAAGGGTTAATTAAAAAAAAAAAGGTCGGAGTTTTTTTTCTCATTATGCACTGCGTGCTCCAGGATTTTTTTTATATGGTGCACACTGACCACACAGACCCATTCTCTCACATGTGGGCCTACCAGCTTTCTCCTGCTTGATTTGAAGCCGCTAGAATTTATGAATATATATACGTACGTCAAACACGGTGGCTCGTAAGATGTTTATATACGACCAAAACAGTCAAAGAGTTAATCCAAAAACACGGTCAAAGTTTTTTTTTTCTCATTACGCGCTGTGTGCTGCAGGATTTTTTTTATACTGCGCACATTGACCACATAGACCCATTCTTTCATATGTAGGCCTACCAGTTTTCTCTGGCTAGATTTGAAGGCGCTAGAATTTAGGCGTTCTAGTACGTCAATAACCCTTGTGCATAATCCATACTAGTACGTCAGAAACCCTGAAAGGATTAATATCTTTGCTTGTCTAGAATGGATTAACTGATTCTGTTCCAGACACCCAAAAACATTAACAAAAAATACACTTTATAGAGAATTTTCTTCAAGAATTGTCTCCAACTAGGGCATATGAAAACCGAGGTTCCACTGTACTGTATTACAGGTATACATCACCAAAAAAAGAATACATAGACTGTATTTATAAAACCTTAAAAGGAAAATAGTCAATAACTGGTCTGTACTGTACTTACTGCTGGCATTCTCTATGGTTTCTGTGGTTTTGCTGTTAATGTTGTCTTTAGTAACACCCTGTGTGAGTGACAATACTTCACCTCCAATGTTCTCATTTACTCCTTCATTTGGCTTATTTGTAAACTGCAATATGCAATCTAGAAATATAATAATAATACAATTTAAAATACATGAATTTATATCATAATACAATTACACTAACAGTATTTACATTTCATAGTGCAAGAATTAGGTGAAGAGGCACTTCAAACTAAATTTATAAACAATCAACGAGATATACAGGCTTCTGAGACCAGTATTTTAAATGGCCGAGGCTATTGGATCAGCAGCCAGTTGCCCAAATATAAACAGATATTAAACCTCATTATGAGACATACTGCGTTCATCAAATTTTAACTTGCTTAGCTTTTATGTACCTATGACAAATTTCAGGAACTTTTCAACTCTACTAGCCTAGCAATAATTGGGTGCTGGTTCAACTAGGCTACTGCTGCTAGTAGCCTGTTGGTCCTTATAACAATCACAACCTGGTTGATCAGGTACTTGGCATAGGAAATGATCCAGTTTCCTCTGAAGTCTTCTCATGACCAATTCATTTGTACTATGTAAATCATAATCACAAAGCAAGTAAAATTATTCAAAGACTATTTTTCACATTCCACAATCCACATCCATAATTTATTCCATGTCATTACCTTGGTGTCATGAAATTTAGACTAAAGGATAAACATCCCTACCATTTGTGCCAAAGGAGATGCTGGATTCTTTGTCAGGCCAGCACCCTGTGGGAATTGTCGCACCCCTCCTAGAGAAGAGGCCCTACCCCTAGGCACAAACCCCACCACTGTGGAAAGGCAACCAAGCAATGGGGCAGGGAGCAAATGTATTTGCTATAGTTAAAACAATTCCTTATACTATATCAGAAGTACTGTATATGTAACAGAAGAGTCAATATACCCAGCTCATTTGTAAAGCCTCTTACAGTAGTGTTTGTGGGATAGATCAGGTCAGCATAATACAGTAGGAACAGATGTGTAGGAGAATATGCCGAGAATGAAAATGATTCCATACCAGTATCCTTACCTACGCTGGTAAAAGCAATGAACCTATACACTCTGGACAGACATAAATTAAGGTGATGTGGTTGAAGTATGAAAAAGGAAAAAACAATTTAAAAAAGGGGATATAAATAAAATGCAAAAACATCTAACCAAGGGTAAAACTGCAACATGGGAATCAAGTTGGATATATTTAGGATTAGAAAAGGATATAGGAAGGCCTTGATTTGGCAATAGTACTGAAACATGAGTGGACAGCCAATGAAGCATTAATGAAACTATTATATAAATAAATATACAAGGTATCATGTAGCACGTAATGAAAGTAGTTTATTAGATTATGTATTGGTGGATAAAAGGTTGATGGGTAGTCTCCAGGATGTACATGTTTATAGAGGGGCAACTGATATATCGGATCATTATTTAGTTGTAGCTACAGTTAGAGTAAGAGGTAGATAGGAAAAGAGGAAGGTGGCATCAACAGGTAAGAGGAAGGTGAAAGTGTATAAACTAAGGGAGGAGGAAGTTCGGGTGAGATATAAGCGACTATTGCCAGAAAGGTGGGCTAGTGCAAAGATGAGTAGTGGGGGGGGGGGTTGAAGAGGGTTGGAATAGTTTTAAAAATGCAGTATTAGAATGTGAGGCAGAAGTTTGTGGTTATAGGAGGGTGGGGCAGGAGGAAAGAGGAGTGATTGGTGGAATGATGAAGTAAAGGGTGTGATAAAAGAGAAAAAGGTAGCTTATGAGAGGTTTTTACAAAGCAGAAGTGTTATAAGAAGAGCAGAGTATATGGAGAGTAAAAGAAAGGTGAAGAGAGTGGTGAGAGAGTGCAAAAGGAGAGCAGATGATAGAGTGGGAAAGGCACTGTCAAGAAATTTTAATGAAAATAAGAAAAAATTTTGGAGTGAGTTAAACAAGTTAAGAAAGCCTAGGGAAAGTATGGATTTGTCAGTTAAAAACAGAGTAGGAGAGTTAGTAGATAGGGAGATGGAGGTATTAGGTAGATGGCGAGAATATTTTGAGGAACTTTTAAATGTTAAGGAAGAAAGAGAGGCGGTAATTTCATGCACTGGTCAGGGAGGTATACCATCTTTTAGGAGTGAAGAAGAGCAGAATGTAAGTGTGGGGGAGGTACGTGAGGCATTACGTAGAATGAAAGGGGGTAAAGCAGCTGGAACTGATGGGATCATGACAGAAATGTTAAAAGCAGGGGGGGATATAGTGTTGGAGTGGTTGGTACTTTTCTTTAATAAATGTATGAAAGAGAGGAAGGTACCTAGGGATTGGCGGAGAGCATGTATAGTCCCTTTATATAAAGGGAAAGGGGACAAAAGAGACTGTAAAAATTATAGAGGAATAAGTTTACTGAGTATACCAGGAAAAAGTGTACGGTAGGGTTATAATTGAAAGAATTAGAGGTAAGACAGAATGTAGGATTGCGGATGAGCAAGGAGGTTTCAGAGTTGGTAGGGGATGTGTAGATCAAGTGTTTACATTGAAGCATATATGTGAACAGTATTTAGATAAAGGTAGGGAAGTTTTTATTGCATTTATGGATTTAGAAAAGGCATATGATAGAGTGGATAGAGGAGCAATGTGGCAGATGTTGCAAGTAGTATATGGAATAGGTGGTAAGTTATTAAATGCTGTAATGAGTTTTTATGAGGATGGAGGCAAAGAAGGGAATGTATGAAAGTATAGTAGTACCAACACTCTTATATGGGTGTGAAGCTTGGGTGGTAAATGCAGCAGCGAGGAGACGGTTGGAGGCAGTGGAGATGTCCTGTTTAAGGGCAATGTGTGGTGTAAATATTATGCAGAAAATTCGGAGTGTGGAAATTAGGAAAAGGTGTGGAGTTAATAAAAGTATTAGTCAGAGGGCAGAAGAGGGGTTGTTGAGGTGGTTTGGTCATTTAGAGAGAATTGATCAAAGTAGAATGACATGGAAAGCATATAAATCTATAGGGGAAGAAAGGCAGGGTAGGGGTTGTCCTCGAAAGGGTTGGAGAGAGGGGGTAAAAGAGGTTTTGTGGGCGAGGGGCTTGGACTTCCAGCAAGCGTGCGTGAGCGTGTTAGATAGGAGTGAATGGAGACGAATGGTTCTTGGGACCTGACGATCTGTTGGAGTGTGAGCAGGGTAATATTTAGTGAAGGGATTCAGGGAAACCGGTTATTTTCATATAGTCGGACTTGAGTCCTGGAAATGGGAAGTACAATGCCTATACTTTAAAGGAGGGGTTTGGGATATTGGCAGTTTGGAGGGATATGTTGTGTATCTTTATATGTATATGCTTCTAAACTGTTGTATTCTGAGCACCTTTGCAAAAACAGTGATAATGTGTGAGTGTGGTGAAAGTGTTGAATGATGATGAAAGCATTTTCTTTTTGGGGATTTTCTTTCTTTTTTGGGTCACCCTGCCTCGGTGGGAGTCGGCCGACTTGTTGAAAAAAAAAAAAAATTATGAAGTTTTGTATAAGCTTTCAAATACTATTAGTAACCCTTTCTCCTGTATAAATTACTAAATGTAAAAAGAAAAAACTTTTGTTTCTTCATTTTTGAGTCACTCTGCCTCAGTGAAAGACAGCTGGTGTACTAAGTAAAAAATAATAACAGTAGCAATAAAAATATTAAAACATTGAATCAATGATATGACTTGTATTACTTATGTGTACGGTATTCATATTCTGCAGGTTTTCAAAACATATGCAAAATTACAATCATTTAGAGACATATTACATATAAAGTACGAATATGGTGTGACAGAATTCTGTATAAATATTGAATAAAATGATGCAAGTTTATGAACAAATAAATGTTAGATGTTAATTTCTGAATTTAGAGGAATCAGCAACTTTTGATGACAGATCAAAGGCCAATGGCTGTACCGAGTCATGTACTACATAACGACATTTTGGTCAACAACAGACTGCACCTATGACAGTGGTCCCATAAGATTATAATGAAGCTGAAAAATCCCTAAATGCCTAGTGACGTCATAGCAGAATGCATTACTCATGTTTATGGAGATGCTGGTGTAAACAAACCTACTGCACTGCCAGTCATATAAAAATATGAACAGTACATAATAGTACTTGACAATAAACAACTATGTTATTGGTTTATATATTTACTATACTGTACTTTATATTATTATTCTAGTGTCCTCTTTCTAGGCTATATCATATAGCCTGTGTGTGAAGTAGGCTATAACATCTAGGTTTGTGTTAGTACACTCTATGATGTTCAAACAGCAATGCATTTCTCAGACTGTATCCCCATCATTAAGCATGTAGTATTTCTGTGATTTTATTTCATACTAATTTAAGTTCTGATTTCCTGAGGTTCTATGAAAATAGGTTAGTTGAAGGGCATACTGCTGACAGAAATGAAGACAAAGAAATGTGTCAGAACCAGCCTTTATTTGTCCCAATAAAGGCTTGTTTTGCCACTTAAAGTCTATGTTCCTGTAAAAATTATTTTAGTGCACAATACATAATCTCTTTGATCTTCAAAACCAAACTGAAACTTTATTCTTTTGATCTTGTGTGTTATTTGCTCCTACACATTACTGAAACTTTGACACTGTTAAGGAGTATTTGCAATACAATTCACTGGCAAGTGAATCAAGAAATAATAATAAATTGCAAGCACCTGTATTGTACTAACCATCTGAACTTTCTTCTATTCCACTTCCACTGGCTTCACCTGTGCCATCAAGTACAATTACATCATCGAGTGATGGAAGACCACTGGGATTTTCTGGTACACTCTGGATTATACTGTCATCTTTCAGTAATTCTGAAAAGATATTATAATACTGTATTATAGGTATACATCACTAAAAACAGTAATCATAGATTGTTATTATAAAAAATTAACAGGAAAATGGTCAATAACTGATTTGTACTGTACTTACTGCTTCCATTCTCTATGTTTTCTGTGGTTTTGCTGCAAATGTTGTCTTTAGTAACTTCCTCTGTTAGTGATGATGCTTCACCTCCAACGTTCTCACTTATTCCTTCATTCGATATATTTGTAAACTGCAATATGCAATCTGGAAATATAATAATCATACATTTTAAATACACGTATTTATATCATAATACAATTACATTAACTGGATCTGGCATTCATATGCCATAATTGCCGATGCATGAATATCGTTGACACAGTAGAATGTGTGAAAGCATTCAGAAAAAGTCTTTACCATTTCATAAGAAAAACAACAATTTTTTTTTTAAATTCTTGGATACTGTGGACACTTTTCAAATCAAAGGTCTGGTCACTTCAAGGGCTAATAATAATAAAGAAATACATAATCATGATATAATTTTTTTTTTTCAACAAGTTGGATGTCTCCCACCGAGGCAGGGTGACCCAAAAAGAAAGAAAATCCCCAAAAAGAAACCACTTTCATCATCATTCAACACTTTCACCTCACTCATACATAATCACTGTCTTTGCAGAGGTGCTCAGATATGATAGTAATAAAATATACAGCTAATAATAATATTAATACAGCCTGTCCTCACTTAACGTCAGAGTTCCGCTCCCGAGACCATGTCGTTAAACGAATTTGTCGCTATGTGAGGAGCATACGTACTATAATGGTAGTGAGTTTGTGTCAACCATCTTTGATATTGTTTTTATGTCACCTTTGCACCATTTATAATATTTGGTATATTTTTAAACGTTTATAATGTAATGAATACTGAAATAAACAGAATAGACGAAATCAGCTCTAATATACTACATTATTTAGGTATGAATACTGGTCAGAGAGCCCGTCGTAAGTCCGAGGCGTCGGTAAATGAGTGCGTCGCTAAGTGAGGAGAGGCTGTACACAAAATAATAATAAAATAATAACTTAATAAATAATAAATGAATGAAACAGTGGAAGGTGCTTAGGGGTTGGCAGAGAGCATGTGTAATTTCTTTATAAAAAGGGAAGGGGGAGTAAGTTTAATGAGTATACCAGCTAGTGTATGGTAGGGTTATTATTGAAAGAATTAGAGGTAAGACAGTTAGCAAGATTGCAGATGAGCAAGGAGGCTTTAGAAAGGGTAAAGGATATGTAGATCAGGTATTTACATTGAAGCATATACCTGGAGTTTACCTGGAGAGAGTTCCAGGGGTCAATGCCCCCACGGCCCGGTCTGTGACCAGGTCTCATCGTGGATCAGAGCCTGATCAACCAGGCTGTTACTACTGGCTGCACACAATCCAACGTACGAGCCACAGCCCAGCTGGTATTTACATAAAGGTAGGAAAGTTTTCACTGCACTTATGGATTTAGAAAAGACAATAATAAGTGGACAGGGGAGCAATGTGGCAGATGTTGTAAGTGTATGGAATATGTAGTAAGTAACTGAAGGCTGTGAAGAGTTTTAATGAGAATAGCAAGGCTCAGGTTAGGGTGTGTAAGAAAAGGGTGATTACTTCCCAGTAAAAGTAAGTCTTAGACAAGGATGTGTAATGTCACCATGGTTGTTTAATACATTTATGGATGGGGTTGTAAAAGAAGTAAATGCTAGTGTGTTGGGAAGACGGGTGGGATTAAATTATGGGGAATCAAATACAAAATGGGAGTTGACACAGTTACTGTCTGCTGATGATACTGTGCTTTTGGGAGATTCTAAAGAAAAGTTGCAAAGGTTAGTGGAGAGGTTTGGGAGGGTGTGTAAAGGTAGAAAGTGGAAAGTGAATATAGATAAGAGTAAGGTGATGAGGGTTTCAAACAATTTAGATAAAGAAAAATTGGATATCACATTGGAGGGAGTATGGAAGAAGTGAATGTTTTCAGATATTTGGGAGTTGACATGTAAGTGGATGGGTTTATGAAGGATGAGGTAAACCATAGAACTGATGAAGGAAACATGGTGAATGGTGCATTGAGGTATCTCTGGAGACAAAGAACATTATCCACGGAGGCAAAGAAGGGAATGTGTGAGAGTATAGTGGTACCAACACTCTTATATGGGTGTGAAGAATGGGTTGTAAATGCTGCAGTGAGGAGGAGGCTGGAGGCAGTGGAGATGTGTCTAAGGGCAATGTATGGTATAAATATTATGCAGAGAATTTGTAGTGTGGAAATTAGGTGGTGTGGAGTTACTAAAGGTATTAGTCAGAGGGCTGAAGAGGGGCTGTTGAAGTGGTTTGGTCATTTAGAGAGAATGGAACAAAGTTTAATGACTTGGAGAGCACATAAATCTATTGGGGAAGGAAGGTGGGGGTAGGGGTTGTCCCCAAAAAGATTGAAGGGAGGGGTTAAAGGGTTTTGTGGGTGAGGGGCTTGGACTTCAAGCACGTGTGAGCGTGTTAGATAGGAGTTAATAGTGACAAATGGTTTTTGGGACCTAATGAGATGTTGGAGTATGAGCAGGGTAATATTTTGTGAAGGGATTTAGGGAAACTGGTTATCCGGACTTTAGTCCTGGAAATGGGAAGTACAATGCCTGCACTTTAAAGGAGGGGTTTAAGATATTGGTAGTTTGGAGGGATCTCTAAACCTTCCTATCTGAGCGCCTCTGCAAAGACAGTGATTATGTATGAGTGATGGTGAAAGTGTTGAATGATGATGAAAGTTTCTTCTTTCTTTTTGGGTTGTTCTTTCTTTCTGGGTCACCCTGCCTCGGTGGGAAGCGGTCAATGTGTTAAAAAAAAAACAGTACTGTAGCAATAAAAATATTAACACAGTGCATTTGTATAATTACATGTACCGTATTCACATTCTGAAGGTTTGCAGAACACATGCAAAATTACTAATTATAAAATGACACATTACAGATAATGTGGTATGATGCATGTTTAGGATGTTAAATTCTGAACTTAGAGGCAGCTGCAACTTTTGATGAGATCAGAAGGCAATGACTGTTCATATATACTACTTCTGTGATTTATTTCATGCAAATTTAAGTTACGATTTCTTGAGGTTCTATGAAAATAAGTTAGTTGAAGGGCATACTGCTGACAGGAATGAGGGCAAAGAAATGTGAAGAAGAACAAGCCTTTTTAGTGGATGAAAATTTCTTTGGTCATCAGAATCAAGCTAAAATTTTATTTTCTTGATTCTGTGTGTTATTTGTTCCTACACATTACTGAAACTTGGACATTGTTAAAGAGCATTTGCAATACAGTTCACCATCAAGTGAAACAAGAAATAATAATAAAGTATAGGACTTGTATTGTACTAACCATCTGAGCTTTCTTCTATTTTGTTTCCACTGGCTTCACCTGTGGCATCAAGTACAATTACATCATCAAGTGATGGAAGACCACTGGGGTTTTCTGGTACACTCTGGATTATACTGTCATCTTTCAGTAATTCTGAAAATATATTACTGTAGGTACAGGTATACATCTCCAAAAAATAGAAATCATAGAGTATCTTTTATTTTTTTTATTAAACATCAGCCATTTCCCACCAAGGTAGGGTGGCCCAAAAAAGAAAAACTTTCACCATCATTCACTCCATCATCGTCTTGCCAGAGACGCACTTACACTAGAGTTATAAAACTGCAACATTAACACCCCTCCTTCAGAGCGCAGGCACTGTACTTCCCATCCCAAGGACTCAAGGCTGACCTGCTGGTTTTCCTGAATCCCTTCATAAACATTACCCTGCTCACACTCCAACAGCACATCATGTCCTAAAAACCATTTGTCTCCATTTGCTATTTAACACGCTCACGCATGCTTGCTAGTAGTCCAAGCCCCTCGCTTGAAAATGGTCAATAACTGATTTGAACTGTACTTACTGCTTCCATTCTCCATGTTTTCTGTGGTTTTACTGTTAATGTTATCTTTATTAACTTCCTTTGTGAGTGACGATGCTTCACCTGCAATGTTCTCATTTACTCCTTCGTTCGGCATATTTGTAAACTGCAATATGCAATCTGGAAATATACACAATAATCATACATGTATTTATATCATTTATTATAATACAATTACATTAACAGTAGAGAATTTACATTTCATAGTGCAGTAGTTAGGTGAAGAGGCACTTCAATTAAATTTATAAACAATCAATGACATATGCCGACTACTGAGACTAGTATTTTAAAAGGCCTAGTATCTGATCAACAACCGATTGCCCAAACATAAGCAGATACTAAACCTCATTGTCAGACATACTGCATTCATATATTTTTAATTTGCTTATTTTTTATTATAAACCTGTGACCGATTTCAGGAGCTTTTCTGCCCTACCAACCTAGCCTTTGATTGAGTGCCTGTTCACCCAGGCTATTGTTGTTAGTAGCTTGTTGGCCCTTACAGCAATCGCAGCCTGGTTGATCTGGCACATGGCAAGGTCATGATCCCATTTCCTCTTAAAGATTTCTAAACTGTTTAAGCAATATTTCCAATACCTGTTTGTAGCAGGCTGACGAGTCTTGGGTCATGAGTATTAACATAATGTTCTCTTAGTCTGCTCATGGTGTCCCTGTATCTCACTAGATTTATTTTACCCTTCCTCCCATCTTATATTTAATGCAGGACAGTCAAGCAGTGGCTTATTTTTGTTGGGGTTCTTAGGTCCTCCCTAAGACAGGACTCATAGTAGTCCACTAACTTCTATGCAGAGAGAGACTGCAAATTATTAAGCTGAAGAGGTACTTACTCAAGATAACCCAAGAAACCCACCTAGTGTGGCTTTTTCCATTGGGGAACTTTGATCTTTCTTTCCATGATGCAACTCGGCATGCCATTTAATACCTCAGTATCTATTTAGTAATAGTATGTACAAGAAGCTAGGTTGAATGTCTCTACTGCTGCAGGATCTAACCCAAGGTCTTTGGTTTAAAACCAAAGGTGCTTTCATTGATCCATAAGCCACCCAAAATGTATGAAAGTTGCTATTTACTGCTAGGTGAACAGGGACAGCAAGTACGTATTAAGAATCTTCCTCATACATCTTGCTCCCCCTTATACTGAATCACGGTCCTCATGAGGGATGAGATGATACCAAAATTATTGCCGATATTGATTCAATTTTAGGCCAATACCAATCCTATCAAAATCTGCTGATACCCACCATAACTGTTGCCAATATTATACCCATCAATATTAATTTTAAGCTGATACCAATAACCTAAATTTAATCAATACACTACACCAATATCTTGGCACACCCCTAGGCCTCAAGGTTACAGTCCACATGCTGACAACTGGTATTGCTCAGAAGTGCAGCCCACACCTCGGTCTGGCCCAGATCATGGCCCACATCACTAGGAGAACCGTTACTTGCACAACTCTTATAACAATAAATTTCAGCTCAAAAGTTTTATGAAGAATATAGCAGCCATTCCCTTCAAGATTCTTTAATGCTAGCAATAGTCTCTTTATCTGAGGAATAACGATAGTTCTCCTGTACATCTAACCTATTTGCTTCCTATTCCCTAAGTACTGTATGACTTATGGTCACACAGTGATGGTGCTATAATCAGGAAGATGTAGTCTGTAAGTAAATAATTTTTTATCTAGGCCTAATGCACAATTTTAAACTTTTACAATGGTTTGATGTGTCACTTTGACATTTTTGGATTACCTGGAGTTTTACCTGGAGAGTGTTTCGGGGGTCAATGCCCCCGCGGCCCGGTCTGTGACCAGGCCTCCTGGTGGATCAGCGCCTGATCAACCAGGCTGTTGCTGCTGGCTGCACGCAAACCAACGTACGAGCCACAGCCCGGCTGATCAGGAACTGACTTTAGGTGCTTGTCCAGTGCCAGCTTGAAGACTGCCAGGGGTCTGTTGGTAATCCCCCTTATGTGTGCTGGGAGGCAGTTGAACAGTCTCGGGCCCCTGACCACTTATTGTATGGTCCTCTTAACGTGCTAGTGACACCCCTGCTTTTCATTGGGGGGATGGTGCATCGTCTGCCTAGTCTTTTGCTTTCGTAGTGAGTGATTTTCGTGTGCAAGTTCGGTACTAGTCCCTCTAGGATTTTCCAGGTGTATATAATCATGTATCCTCTCCCTCCTGCGTTCCAGGGAATACAGGTTTAGAAACCTCAAGCGCTCCCAGTAATTGAGGTGTTTTATCTCCGTTATGCGCGCCGTGAAAGTTCTCTGTACATTTTCTAGGTCGGCAATTTCACCTGCCTTGAAAGGTGCTGTTAGAGTGCAGCAATTTTCCAGCCTAGATAGAACAAGTGACCTGAAGAGTGTCATCATGGGCTTGGCCCCCCTAGTTTTGAAGGTTCTCATTATCCATCCTGTCATTTTTCTAGCGATGCGATTGATACAATGTTTTGGTCCTTGAAGGTGAGATCCTCCGACATAATCACTCCCAGGTCTTTGACGTTGGTGTTTCGCTCTATTTTGTGGCCGAATTTGTTTTGTACTCTGATGAAGATTTAATTTCCTCATGTTTACCATATCTGAGTAATTGAAATTTCTCATCGTTGAACTTCATATTGTTTTCTGCAGCCCACTGAAAGATTTGGTTGATGTCCGCCTGGAGCCTTGCAGTGTCTGCAATGGAAGACACTGTCATGCAGATTCGGGTGTCATCTGCAAAGGAAGACACGGTGCGTGGCTGACATCCTTGTCTATGTCGGATATGAGGATGAGGAACAAGATGGGAGCTAGTACTGTGCCTTGTGGAACAGAGCTTTTCACCGTAGCTGCCTCGGACTTTACTCTGTTGACGACTAAATCTCTGTGTTCTGTTAGTGAGGAAATTATAGATCCATCGACCGACTTTTCCTGTTATTCCTTTTAGCGCGCATTTTGTGCGCTATTACGCCATAGTCACACTTGTCGAAGCTTTTGCAAAGTCTGTATATATTACATCTGCATTCATTTTTTTCTTCTAGTGCATTTAGGACCTTGTCGTAGTGATCCAGTAGTTGAGACAGACAGGAGCGACCTGTCTAAACCCATGTTGCCCCGGGTTGTGTAACTGATGGGTTTCTAGATGGGTGGTGATCTTGCTTCTTAGGACCCTTTCAAAGATTTTTATGATATGGGATGTTAGTGCTATTGGTCTGTAGTTCTTTGCTGTTGCTTTACTGCCCCCTTTGTGGAGTGGGGCTATGTCTGTTGTTTTTAGTAACTGAGGGACGACCCCCGTGTCCATGCTCCCTCTCCATAGGATGGAAAAGGCTCGTGATAGGGGCTTCTTGCAGTTCTTGATGAACACAGAGTTCCATGAGTCTGGAACTGGGGCAGAGTGCATGGGCATGTCATTTATCGCCTGTTCGAAGTCATTTGGCGTCAGGATAACATCGGATAGGCTTGTGTTAATCAAATTTTGTGGCTCTCTCATAAAAAATTCATTTTGATCTTCGACTCTCAGTCTGGTTAGCGGCTTGCTAAAAACTGAGTCATATTGGGACTTGAGTAGCACACTCATTTCCTTGCTGTCATCTGTGTAGGACCCATCTTGTTTAAGTAGGGGCCCAATACTGGGCGTTGTTCTCGATTTTGATTTGGCATAGGAGAAGAAATACTTTGGGTTTCTTTCGATTTCATTTATAGCTTTTAGTTCTTCCCGCGATTCCTGACTCCTAAAGGATTCTTTTAGCTTAAGTTCGATGCTTGCTATTTCTCTGACCAGTGTCTCCCTGCGCATTTCAGATATACTATTGACCTCTTTTAGCCGCTCTGTTATTCTTTTCCGTCGCCTGTAAAGGGAGCGCCTGTCTCTTTCTATTTTACATCTACTCCTCCTTTTTCTTAGAGGAATAAGCCTTGTGTATACATCGAGTGCCACCGAGTTAATCTGTTCTAGGCATAAGTTTGGGTCTGTGTTGCTTAGTATATCTTCCCAGCTTATATCGGTTAGGACTTGGTTTACTTGGTCCCACTTTATGTTTTTGTAATTGAAGTTGAATTTGGTGAATGCTCCCTCGTGACTAGTCTCATTTTGTCGGTCTGGGGCTCCTCGCATACATGTCTGAACCTCAATTATGTTGTGATCTGAGTATATTGTTTTTGATATGGTGACATTTCTTATCAGATCATCATTGTTAGTGAATATGAGGTCTAGTGTATTCTCCAGTCTAGTAGGCTCTATTATTTGCTGGTTTAAATTGAATTTTGTGCAGAGATTTAAAAGCTCGTGTGAGTGTGAGTTTTCATCAGAGCTGCCTCCTGGTGTTATTACTGCAACAATATTATTTGCTATATTCCTCCATTTTAGGTGCCTTAAGTTGAAATCCCCCAGGAGCAAGATGTTGGGTGCAGGAGCTGGAAGATTTTCCAGACAGTGGTCAATTTTTAACAGCTGTTCCTGGAATTGCTGGGATGTTGCATCCGGAGGCTTGTAGACTACCACAATGACTAGGTTTTGGTTCTCGACCTTTACTGCTAAAACTTCCACTACGTCATTTGAGGCATTAAGCAGTTCTGTGCAAACAAGTGACTCTGCAATGTATAGGCCAACCCCCCCCTTTTGCCTGTTCACTCTGTCACATCTGTATAGGTTGTAACCTGGGATCCATATTTCATTGTCCAAGTGATCCTTTATGTGGGTCTCAGTGAAAGCCCCCGCGAACATTGCCTTTGCCTCTGCAAGCAGTCCACGGATGAAAGGTATTTTGTTGTTTGTTGCTGGCTTTAGACCCTGTATATTTGCAAAGAAGAATGTTATCGGACTGGTGGTATTGTTGGTACTGGGGGGGGATTTTTTTCCGGCATTAGTATCTGTATCTGTTGGTTTGGAGTGGAGGCCATCGACTGTGGTTCCACTCCAGGAATGACTGGATTTGGTGTACGATTTCTGCCATTTCCTGCCAGTTTTTTTTCCTTCCTGGCACTAAAAAACCTCTCCCTCTTGAGTGGCTGTGGCTACCCAGGTTTTCCCATGGCCTGGATGTTTTGTATCTTTTTGTCCCCTTTAGATGGTATGCCTGGCAATTTAAGTTATAGCACAGTCTTTCCTGTACTGAAGAGGTACACATTTCAGGGTGAAAAAGCTTACAGGAAGGGAGTTTGCATTTTCCTGTTGTCATATGGGCATGGCATTTTCTAGGGTGGTCATAGTTGCACGTCCCATCTGTTTTTCCAGATTTCCCATGCCAGCAGATACCAAGTGCATAGTATGTGCACAGGCTTGGTTTCCGCTTGCCTTGGGTTTCTGTGACTGTATTCCCTGTTGGTGCATGTTTCCCTGTCTTACTTCTATCCTCCCTAGCACCAACAATGGAGCTCCCACCAGTTGTTTTTGGTAATTTATCCTCACTATTGCTTTTGGAGTCCTCTTGTTTGCTATTTCCTGCGGAATTTCTAGTTTGCAATATTGGTTTTATCTTATCTTTGACTACACTTGTTTCCCTACTATGGCTCCTGTCCCCTATGAGGTCATTTATATGTATTCCTTCCTGCGTATAATTCCCGACTACCTGGACAAAATCTCCAGCTTCACCATTACTGTCTCCCAGGACAGTATCTCCAGCTTCACCATTTCTGTCTCCCAGGACAGCACCTCCAGCTTCACCATTACTGTCTCCCAGGACAGCACCTCCAGCTTTACTATTACTGTCTCCCAGGACATCACCTCCAGCCTTACAGTTTGTGACTACATGGCCAGTATCAAGGGCAGTACCATTCAGCCCAGACTTTTTATGTTCCCATCTGTTGTAGAAAGCTTCCAGGTTTTCTATGAAAGCAGCTTTGATGTTGTCCTCTTTTAATACCCTTGTGATTTTAGTCCACAGATTTTCCTCATTTGGGCATACCCAGAAACACTTCTCTGTTTTAATACTGCTTGTAGCTAGTTCTGGGATATCTGCACAAGGGGCGTGACACCAATTTCCACAAAAATGACAGTTTATCCATGTGGAAGCCCGTTTGTTTGACTGACCACAGACTACACACAGCTTCATAATGATTTGAATGGTTGATTTACTGCAATTCTACTAGCAACCTCTTGAATATTATATTAATAACCTTAAATGAAGCTCTAGCTATTTGTATTTCTGTTTCTAACTCTTTTTGTATATTGGACAGCTTACCGTCATGTTCCAGATTATCCTAGGTAATTTACACAAATGTTAAACTATGTATGATAATTATACTTATGTGTAATTGTAGCTAAATAAACTTGCTTATTGTCCTGTAGCTCGATTGCTAGCATACTCAGCTCACACACTGAGGTTCATGGTTCGATCCCTGGTACCTGGGTGTTAGTGGGCTGGTGTGGGTCGCATCCTGGGTGTTAGTGGACTGGTGTGGGTCGCATCCTGGGTGTTAGTGGACTGGTGTGGGTCACATCCTGGGTGCTAGTGGACTGGTGTGGGTCGCATCCTGGGTGTTAGTGGACTGGTGTGGGTCGCATCCTGGGTGTTAGTGGACTGGTGTGGGTTGCATCCTGGGTGTTAGTGGACTGGTGTGGGTCGCATCCTGGGTGTTAGTGGACTGGTGTGGGTCACATCCTGGGTGTTAGTGGACTGGTGTGGGTCGCATCCTGGGTGTTAGTGGGATGGTGTGGGTCGCATCCTGGGTGTTAGTGGACTGGTGTGGGTCACATCCTGGGTGTTAGTGGATGTGGGGGGGTCACATCCTGGGTGTTAGTGGACTGGTGTGGGTCGATCCTGGGTGTTAGTGGACTGGTGTGGGTTTGCATCCTGGGTGTTAGGGGGACTGGTGTGGGTCGCATCCCGGGTGTTAGTGGACTGGTGTGGGTCGCATCCTGGGTGTTAGTGGACTGGTGTGGGTTGCATCCCGGGTGTTAGTGGACTGGTGTGGGTCGCATCCTGGGTGTTAGTGGACTGGTGTGGGTTGCATCCTGGGTGTTAGTGGACTGGTGTGGGTCACATCCTGGGTGTTAGTGGACTGGTGGTGGGTTGCATCCTGGTGTTAGTGGACTGGTGTGGGTCGCATCCTGGGTGTTAGTGGACTGGTGTGGGTTGCATCCTGGGTGTTAGTGGACTGGTGTGGGTCGCATCCTGGGTGTTAGTGGACTGGTGTGGGTCGCATCCTGGGTGTTAGTGGACTGGTGTGGGTTGCATCCTGGGTGTTAGTGGACTGGTGTGGGTTGCATCCTGGGTGTTAGTGGACTGGTGTGGGTCACATCCTGGGACAACACTGACCTAATTTGCCCAAAATATTCTGCATAACAAGGAGCTTTCTATATAGTAGTATGTCACTGATGTCAGCTATGACCTGTATACCTTGTACATGTACTTGCTGAAATAAAGATAATAATAACAATAATAATAATTATTAGTTATTATTATTATTATCATTGTAAAATGTAGAAATTTAACCTTATATATGGTAGTAGTGAAGTACGTGGTGTTTCTCAGGACGAGAGGTAGCCAGGAGCCGGCACCGTGAAGGATGAGATGAACCTCTGGATCAGGAGTATCCTGGGATGGTTAGGCAGTAGGTGAGGCAGCAGGAGACGCACATATTAAGAGGAAATATAGATATACAGAAGCAGTAGTGGCGGCTGTGATGTTGTTGTCTTGTCAGTCGCTCACGTTCATTACTTAAAAAAATGTCTAGAATATTCCCTAAACTTCGTAGTTTTTCCAAATTATTATATTTTTCTTTCGAAGTAATTCGCAATCACTGTGAAAATTATATATTTTATATATATGTGTGTGCGAGAAGGGGAGCAGATGGTAGTTATTTTAGACATGAACGTGAGCGTCCAGAGCGTCAACTACCTGGTTTTCACACTTGGTAAATATTAATATTTTCTCCATTATAAATTTATCCTTCAAGCATATATTCATTTGCAGATAACTCATGAACACCTGATGCCCCGTCACTCATACTGAAGGAGGCAGTATTTTGATAAATTAGACATGTGCAACACTTAGGTAGCTTTTAAGAGGCACCTAAGTTCTTCCGTCTAATAACGTTAATTTTTGCACTATAATCTACCTTGTCCATAGTTACTATCGCATTTGCTTTGTTTCGTAAGGTGAAGTTCAGGATCTTTCCTTAATTCATGGTATAACTTAAATCTTTGAGGTAAATAAACCCTTCGTGGAAGGTTCCTTGATGTTGGTGAGGGGCTCTTGATTTAGGGAATTGGAACTTTTTAGTTTAATATGTTTATTATGCACCCCATACCCATCCTGTGGGCGGTAGTCAAAAGATTACAGAGGTACATAATTGGTCCAGGGACTGGACTCCAAAGTTTTGATAGCTGACCAAGTTACAAAGATAATGAGCTCCAGGTAGAGCTGGTCACACTCATGAATAATTGCAAAGGTAATGAATCATAAACACATTAATCATGAGAATTTACAAAGGTAATGAGCTCCAGGTAGAGCTGGTCAAAATCATGACAAGTTACAAAGGTAATGAACTAGATCTGGTCACAATCATGACCAAGTTACAAAGGTAATGAGCTCCAGGTAGAGCTGGTCACACTCATGAATAATTGCAAAGGTAATGAATCATAAACACATTAATCATGAGAATTTACAAAGGTAATGAGCTCCAGGTAGAGCTGGTCAAAATCATGACAAGTTACAAAGGTAATGAACTAGATCTGGTCACAATCATGACCAAGTTACAAAGGTAATGAGCTCCAGGTAGAGCTGGTCACACTCATGAATAATTGCAAAGTAATGAATCATAAACACATTAATCATGAGAATTTACAAAGGTAATGAGCTCCAGGTAGAGCTGGTCAAAATCATGACAAGTTTCAAAGGTAATGAATGATAAACACGTTATCACATGATTACAATCATAGACAAATTACAGAGTAATGAGCAGTTAACAAACATAGCAGGGAATTCATCCATTGCCCCAACAACAGATGTTGCTAGGTGCCTGTCTCTCCTCGGTAGACAGCCATTGCAAACAGCAGCAAGTTGCCCCGGGATCTGCTGCTTGCACGAGCACCATCGACCCTCCCCAAGAGGTCCAAGAAGCCAGTGACTCCGTTAGCAGCTCGATGGAGAGCTGTCCTAGGGACATGTCAGCGTCCTGGTGGACCCCAAGAATTGGAACTGTGCTCCAGTTCCCTGAATTAAGCCTGAATGCCTTCCACATCCCCCCCCTGAGCGCTGTATAATCCTACGGGTTTAGCGCTTCCCCTTTGATTATAATAATAATAATGAGGTAAATAAAGATATAATTGTGTTCTAGGTTGAGGGACTGATTACCTCAGTCTCCTTCAGATCTTCGTATTGGACTGATGAAGCCACTGTGTGGCGAAACATTTCCACAATAAATATATCCAAGTGTTGCACATTTGTCTAATTTATCAAATATCGGTTCTCTGAGCCATTTATCTACATGAATGTTTGAATTATCTGAGTATTCTTGACCATTGAAAAATGTCACGCTTGCATTATGTATTAGTTAAATTTTCATTATTTACCACCAGTGTCTGCATGACTTATGGGTTTAGTGCTTAGTTTTGATTACCACCAATGTAACTTATAACGGTGTCCCGTGGCCTGGTAGGCAGCGCTCTTGCTTCACACACTGACTGTCCATGGTTCAGTCCCTGGCAAGGATGGAAACATCGGGCATATTTCCTTGCACCTGTTGTCCCCATTCACCCAGCAGGCAAGTAGGTACCTGGGTGTTAGTCGACTGGTGTGTGTTGCATCCTGGGGGACAAGATTGAGGACCACAATGGAAATAATTAATAATCTACTGTTCAACTATAAAATAATTACTGTCCTACTGTACAACTATGATAAAATCCTTAGTGTTAAGTAGACTGTAAGCCAATAATGTTAAGTTGGCCCATAATGCCTAGGCATAATAGAGGCTCTCTTTGCATTGCAACCTACTATTGCAAGTATAAAATCTCAATGTCCTGTTTGCAAAGACATAAAATAAATAAATAAGAGAGGCAGTCCTCTATGACGCACTGCCTTTCTTGGTTTATCCTGGGTGGCTAACCCTCTGGGGTTAAAAATCCAAACAAAATCCATACTCATTTAGAGTGCAAGGAGAGAGTGATTCACAAATAATCATTCAAATATAGTTTACGAAAAATATTTCCATTTATATTCTTGATGTAAAAAATTTTTAAGGGAAGGATTTTTTGAGATCTTGCTCAGAATTTTCAAATTCAAACATGATGAGCTTGGATTGCCTGTGCAGTTATTTTTCAACTATATTTGACTAGGGATATATTAGTTTTAAACCTTAATATTTTTTCTATACATTTGAAATTTGCATTAGTACACCTTGTATAAAAATTATAATATGTAGTAGAGAGTTTTGCAGACAGGAGAAAAAAATAGTCTTTTGTTCATGTGGGTATGTATATTTACTGTACACAATTTATTAATTTGTTTGCAATTTTATATTTTCAGTTACAAGCAACACTATTTGTGATGGATTTCCAGCATCGCGCAGGAGGAAAAACAGGTGGTGGTGGACAGGCATCATGGTCAGAGAGTAATAGAGACCGTCGAGAGCGATTGCGTCAGCTAGCTCTCGAGACTATTGACCTAAACAAGGATCCATATTTTATGAAAAATCATTTAGGATCATATGAATGTAAACTATGCCTCACCCTTCACAATAATGAGGGAAGCTACTTGGCCCATACTCAGGGCAAGAAGCATCAAACAAATTTGGCAAGACGTGCTGCCAAAGAGGCCAAGGAATCCCCAGCACAACCTGCCCCAGAGAAACCCCGTGTTGAGATGAAAAAGTTTGTTAAAATTGGTCGTCCTGGATACCGTGTTACTAAACAGAGAGATCCAGAGACTGGACAGCAGAGCTTGCTGTTTCAAATTGATTACCCAGAAATTGCAGACAATGTAGCACCTCGTCATCGCTTCATGTCAGCCTATGAACAAAAGGTAGAACCTCCAGATCGTAAATGGCAGTATCTTTTGTTTGCGGCAGAACCATATGAAACCATAGCCTTCAAGGTGCCTAGTCGAGAAGTAGATAAATCCTGGACAACTTGGAACAAAGAAACAAAGCAATTCTTTTTACAATTTGCTTTTAAAATTGATCCCAAAGCCAAAATGATTCCTCCAGCTCCTCCACCACTTTCAGGACCACCAGGTCCTCCAGGTCCACCAGGACATCCAGGTATGCCCCCACCGCCTGGGTTACCACCACGCCCACCCATGATGCCTCCTGGGCCTCCACCTCCAGGCATGCCACCTCCACCAGGACCCCCTGGCATGCCACCACCACCCCCAATAAGACCACCAATGAGACCCATGATGCCGCCGCCTCCTGGACCACCAGGACATCATGGACCACCGGGTCATCATGGGCCACATGGTCCTCTGAGACCTCCTCCAGGCCCACCTGGCATGGGTCCTCCTCCTGGCATGCGTGGGCCTCCACCACCACCTGGAGGCCCACCTCCACCTCCGCCACCATTTAACCCAGTTCCTCCTCCACCACCGTCAGGTGGAGTACCTCCACCTCCACCACCTAAAAACTAGGATTTTATGAATAGGTATTGTATGTGCAGTGATCACTGGAAAGTTCTTTCAATCTGCTTAAAAATTCAAGTGATGGCAAAAGATTAGGGAAATGGCAGACTAATTAAGAATAATGTTAAGTAGCTGTATTTTCAAATTTGCAATTTTTACTATAAAGACAAATACAGATTGGCAATTAAATTTTGTTTAATTATATCCTACTGGATTGTTTAAATTTTTGAAATCTCAGTATATTAAATTATATTATATTAAATTATAGATTACATATTAATCTCCCCAGTGCTAGATCATGGGGACTTGAGCAGTTTTGTACTTTAGAACCCAGCATCCCAATTTTTTGGCCTACCTAATAGGGAGATTTTTACTTTTCATCTTTAGTGCTTCCCCCTTGATAATAATAATAATAGAAATTTACTTTTCATCCCTTGTGGGGTTATCACTTATAACAACTAATAATAATTTACCTTTCATCAAAATTTGCTGAATTCAGTTATAACCAACAAATTACCTATCATTGTGCATAAACCAAATCTGGCCATATTTAAAAATGGAACCCCTCATGGAAGGTTCCTTGATGCTGGTGAGGAGCTCTAGGGAATTGGATTTGTGCTCCAGTTCCCTGAAATTGAGCCTGAATACCTTCCACCCCTCCCCCCCAGAACTGTATAATCCTACAGGTTTAGCTCTTCCCCTTGATGATAATAATAATAATGTACAATACAGTAATAATAATTATGCAGTACATTATTTAAATTAATTATACATCAAAAATGGCACAATGCACAAATAACTGGCAGAGAGAGAGAAGAGCTTACATTATTATTATAATCAAAAAGAAGAGAAGCGCTAAACCACAAGGGCTATACAGCGCTGCAGGGCAGGAAAGAAGCGAGGGTATCAGGTGGCAAAAGGAAGATGGGTGAGTAATGGGTTACGGAGAACAGCGGGGCAGTGGATAGTGCAAGGGTAGAGGGCAGCAAGAGATTGAGGTAGAAAGGGTTGAGGGGAGTGCAAAAGGTATCATCATCAGAGTTTGTGGAGTAAATCAGTCGTTGTCAAGAAGTCAATGAGAGAGTCAGGATTAGAGGAGGGTCCATCAGCAAGAAGGGAAGGTAAAGAGAGAGTAGTAGAGCGGAGACGACGACGGAGGTAAATTCTGAGTGCTCGTTGATAGAGAGGGCAGTCTAATAGAATGTGCCTAATCGATACTGGAACTTGACACTGCTCACAGAGAGGAACAGGGTGCCTCTCCATGAGCTACCCATGAGTAAGACGAGTGTGGCCAATGCGAAGGCAGGAGAGAGTAGTCTCCCAACCTCGGCACTGATGACAAGAAGACGGCCAGTAACCTATGCTTGGTTTAATAGAATGAAGTTTGTTACCGAGCAGAGTTGACCAACGTTGTTGCCAACGGGTGTGAAGGTGGGTAGCTATTACAGCAAAATAGTCCGGAAATGGAACACCTCTATATGAAATTGGCAAGATGTACTGCTGACCGCGCAGCAGTGTCTGCCTGTTCATTGCTTTGTACGTCAACATGACCAGGGACCCAACAAAAAACAATATCTTTATGCTCGGTAGAGATACGGCGTAGCCAAAGTTGGATATGGAGAAATAGGGGGGTGAGGTGTATCAAATTTCCATATAGCCTGTAGAGCACTAAGGGAGTCTGAGACAACCACAAATGATGACACAGGCATAGATGTGATACGAATAAGAACTGCAAGAATAGCATACAATTCAGCAGTAAAAATGCAAGCCGAAGACAGTAGATGCCCTCACATGATGCTGTCCGGAAACACTGCTGCGAATCCGACGCCATCAGAAGACTTAGAGCCATCTGTGTACACTGTGATGGCATGAGAATGAGAGTGGAAGTGATCAAGAAAAAGAGAGCGGGAAGCCACCGTAGGCAGTTGGGCTTTCGAGCAAGGGAGTGAGAAAGAACAGACCCGAACAGCTGGAACTTCCCAGGGGGGTAGGGAAAAGTGAGACGCTACATGAACATACATAGGTGGTAACTGAAGGGAAGACAAGACCGAATGTAGGCGAAGTGAGAAGGGACAGAGCAAACAGGGGTGGCGAACAAATAAAGAATGCCTACTAATATCGGTGACCGTTTTATAAAAGGAAGGATTGTGGAGATCGTGAGAGCGTACATAGTAGCGAAGGCAATGGGCATCACAGCGATCAGACAAGGATGGAACATTTGCTTCTGCATATTATTATTATTATTATTATAATCAAAAAGAAGCGCTAAGCCACAAGGGCTATACAGCGTGCTTCTGCATAGAGGCTCTCAACTGGAAGAGCGAAAAACACCAAGGCATAAACGTAATCCTTGGTGATGAACGCGGTTAAGGCTACAGAGTAGCTTACATTTTAGTCCAACTTGGACCATTTACAAAGTCACACTAACACAAAAGTGTGTTATTGACATTTATAAATGGTCCAAGTCAGACTGAAACATCATCTTTAGCTTTTCTTTCTCCTATGTGCGGGTTATTTATATTGTTCCTGTCACAGTATTGGGCCTTTTTGTTCTTTACGGCACAACAAACCCCTCAAAGTTTCTTAATACCAGCTAAGAGATTTTGACCTAATCTCTTTCAACTGAGCTGATTCCCACTCATTCCCTATGGGTCTGCATGACAACTGGTTTAGTTTCCCCTCATAATTATAACAAAACCTAAACCAATCTGGATTATTCAGTGCTTTATAGTAAATGAGTGCTAATGTTATGGAAGTGTGGAGGGATACAAGTGTGAAAGGAGTGTGTTTTAGTTGATGCACCTGGCATCATTGGAGCCTGTCAAGTTCATTCCCTGGAAACTACCAGTTACCCTACTTGGTGCACACCCCCAGGATGGAGTGTGTGCACCAGGTAGGTGCACACCCCAAAAAAATTTGTTACTAGACTAGAGTACCAGCTGTACAGTTGTCTTTCATCCAGTAATATCAGTTGCCAAACCGGATCCACTGACAACCTGTAACACAATCACTTTAGTACCAGCAACAACAGTAATATTAATACAATCATTTAAATACTAAATAAGCACTACCAACAGAAGCTACTTTAAATGGGGCTGATTGTGGTACTTTTACCCTTCCTACTAGCTGTATTTCACAAAAGGGAAAAGTTTCCCTGCTAGAGGTGCCAAACGAGGAGAAAGAGAAAGTTGGAGAGTATCGAGATTAGCTCTGAGGAAGAAATAATAGATCTAATTCCTTAGATCAAGAGCCTGTACACCGTACCTGGAGTATACCTTGGGGAGACAAAACCTGTTAATTTTAGTAATGTGTAGTGGTCTATCTTCTTGGGAAAATATAATTAACTGGAAAAAAGTAACAGTAGTGCACAATACAGCTGGGTTTCAACCTGCCACCTGAAACACTGAGAAGCCAGTGAATGTACAGTATTTTGTCGATATACAACAATTTAGGAAAAAGAAAGGCAACTATCCTTTTAAATTTTTAATGGATTGTGGAACTTTAAAGTTTTAAACATACAAAACTTTACAGTAATCCATTACAGTTTATAAAAATACGCAAAAGGATGAGCTTCACTTCAATGAGCAAACCAATGATACACAGCATGATAGACCACTCCAGTACACCTAAAGATACAAAATATTTTATAAAGTTTGCACTGATTTTTTCCAATGTAATATAACTTCTAATGTTGTCAGTGTATTTTTTATGTAATCAGCATTTATAGAGAATACTTTTGAGAAATTATTGCAGTATTTAGTCAAATATAATTCTGTTTGCAGTAATAATAGCTACCAGTATGGTATACTGTACACAAGGTTCTCATAATATTAGAAATGAAGGCATGTCCTGATCAAGTAACTGACAGTAATAAATGCAAAAATAAGCCATAATTAAGAAGCTGCTTTTCTTTATGGTGATAGTGTGCTTTACATAAAAAAATAAAGATTCTGCACGAACTGAACACTAAAACCTAAAACTACACACAAAATTAACAATATTTTATGGAAGTACTTAATGCTTGGATAAAAGTACACAAAGTAAATATATATAACCTAGCAATTCCTCCTTAAGTGAAGAGTTCACTCCAAGACGTACATATGTTATATACGATTCACATTTTGGGACAAGTCAAAATACACTTTTATGACAAATTTTGACTTCCAATCAACATAAGAATAGACATTTTCTACATCTTTTGTCACAGAATATTCAATGAAGAACACATACAAGCAAGTCTTTGTATAATCAAGAGCATGTACAGATACCTAAATCTTAGGTGAGATAAAAGAAAAAAATTACCTTACACTTAATATTTGCACCAACATTCAAAGCTGTGCTTTGTTGAATGTGTCAGTGAATAAGAAGCAGTCATTAAAGTCAATACAATTACTATGCCTTTGTTTTTGTTAAAATACAACTTAATGTAAATAAGAATATTTGCTGATATATACATATTTTTTGCACTTTTGGTCTTAATTTCATTAAAAGTATGTATTTGATAAAGGTGTCAATGGAACTGATGCCATCAGTAAATATTGTTATTTTAAATTTGCTATTAGATTTTTCTCAAGAGTACACTGAATTAGATACAGTAACACAGTAGTTTACTTAACTTTCTGACAATGTATGTATGATCTAAGACATTTTCAAAAATTCTGCAACAAATTTCTCTATTATAAACTAAGAACTGAAAATCAGTTTGTACAAATTTAAATGGCTAATAATTTTTCCTTAGTTATAATAATAAGCACTTGCTGTATAATGATGATACATTTATTTCACTATGAGCAGCTCTGTGTGTGTGTGTGTGTGTGTGTGTGTGTGTGTGTGTGTGTGTGTGTGTGTGTGTGTGTGTGTGTGTGTGTGTGTGTGTGTGTGTGTGTGTGTGAGCGAGCGCGCGCGCGCGCTCGCTCACCTAATTGTGGTTGCAGGGGTCGAGACTCGGCTCCTGGCCTGTGTGTGTGTGTGTGTGTGTAGTACGTATATGTATATATGTACGTATGTACATACGTATGTATGTACGTATGTACATGTGTATGTGTACATATGTACATGCATGTATGTGTACATGTGTAGTATGTGTGTGTGTCTATGTATGTACATGTGTGTACTCACCTAGTTGAGGTTGCAGGGGTCGAGTCCAAGCTCCTGTGTGTCTATGTATGTATGTGTGTGCACTTGTGTAT